AGTTTTACACCTTCTAGTTAATAACGTAGTTCAACAGGATATTATTGAAATAAACAAAAACAAAAATTTGTCGTAAGATATATTCATTTACCGACTTCTGCGAACATACCAATATCTACGAGTAATTTTCGATAAATGCTACAATTTAATGTAACTGCCATTGAAATCTGATATCATAGAATAAAATGAAAATTTTTTTAAAGTTTATTTAACACCATTATTATTAGCTTTTTGGAATGATTTTACACATTGTCATTTTCCTGCGTTCTCTAAATAATTAATATAAACTATATTATTCTATCTAAGCTGTTTAATAAAGTCTTGTGATTAATAGCACAAAGACTAACTAAAAATGAAATGGAACATGGAAGTAAAAGCTATAAAATTACAAATTGTAATTTTTCTGGCACTTGAATGCCAAGGAATAATTGCAAACTGTTAAATGCCTGTTAACTATTGTACATTGCTCTCTATAAGGTATTAATTAGAGTAACCTTAATAAACTAGTATTTTTTTAAAAAAAATATAGTATTCCAATCCAAAAGGTTAAAAATTTTAAAAAAAATTCCTATGTGTCGTATTTTCTGAAAATTACCCATATATTCTACTTCGTAAAGAATTCATTTTTTTATATATTATTTTGGCTGCTTAAACGCATTATAATTTGCGGTGAACAGATGAATTTTTATTGATATTTTATACGTGAATTTTTGACAATAACGGTGGTTTTGCTTTAATGTTCTTTTTATTTGAATTTCGCTTATGTCCCAATCGAAGGGAAGCGATCAACGACGTTTATGTCTTGCCTTTATTTTGATCTCATTTAGATCACTGGTTGTGATTCTTAGTTTCAAATGAAGCTTACAGTGAAAATTTCTGTATTAGATTATTTTATCAAAACCAAAATGAGTTTACTTGTATGTATGTAACTGGTTTAATTAAATTACATCTAGTTAATAAATTCTTCAATCACAAAACACCCCCCATGAAAAAACTATACCTACGTGCTTGAGTCGTAAACCCAAAAAATTGTGTCGGCTGTTCAATTTCGGTTATAAAATAATAATAAAAATTGTGATTTGAGCTGTGGTGGCTCGGGATAGAGCATTTGTCTTTGAATGAGATGACCTGGGTTTGAATCCCTGCGATGGCGGGCCGATACGAATTACGCATCCGGCTTGCACCGTCCACAGTGCTGACGTGAAATATCCTCAGTGGTAGACGAATCCTAGGTCAGAGTCCCTTTACCGTCAGGCGAATCGTGGGAGGTTCTCGTGGGTTTCCTTTCCATGTAGTGCAAACGAGGGTTAGTTCCATCAAAAAGTCCTCCACAAAGGCAAATTTCTCCCAATACTTGATCTAGGAGTTCCTTTGTCTTCTGGATTGGGTTCAAAATGACAAGGCTACAGAGTTGAAAATTAGTAGTCGTAAACCCAATAATTGGGCCGACGGTTCAGCATTAGTTGTAAAATAAAATAAAAAAAATTGTGATTCGGTTGTCATGTTATGTTTTGCAAAATGACTGAAGTGTGGAAGTAAATAACTTGGAAAACCTGCACCTTCTCAAAAGGCATTACCCAGAGAAAATGCTAGGGGGAAACAGTGTTTTTTCCTGTCAGAATATGCTATATAAAGGGGTTTTCCCTCTTGATTTTCTTTAGAGTTGATAAGAAAGATCATTTTGTTTAGAAAATATATAATTATGAAAATTTTATGCAAACGCATTTTATTAATATGCTAAGGGTAACTGGATTTGATAAATAGTAATAAATGTGAAGTAAAATTACTTGATAACAATATATGATAACTGTATAATATTATAACAGTTCACATTAGGAACAGTTTTATCTCTATTTAGTCTTTATATTTTTTAAAAAATTTTGATATAAATGTTAAGATTTGTGTCTAGCAACATCTAATCTCTCTCTTTATTATTTATTTATTTTTATTACTTTTTACATGAAGTCAAGCAGGAGCTTGATAAATGCTTTATTTTCATTTTAAGAATCATCTTTAACAGATATTACAAAAAATAGGCAGCAATCTTAGAGTGAAGAAAAGAGCGACAAAAATAACCCTCAGTGCTCTCATCAGTATTATTTTACCTCATTAATTTATTTATTTTAACTTTACAATAAAATTATTGTATAAAAATATTTGATTACAAATTTTTCAGATGAGGACTTTTTTGATTCTCAATTGTCATCAGCTCAAACTGTTAGACTTAGCCATTTAAACAATAAGAGTTCCGGTGAGTAACCTGAAAATGTTTAATTTCTAAATTGAGAAGCTTTTTTTAGAAATCTTTTTATGCTTTTTGCAGTGTTGTGTCCAAAAAGTCAGAATATCACTAGTCAGTATTTAGCTCTACAACAGCTTGATGCTCATCAGAAAATGATTGCAAGAGCTAAAGGTTTGTTCTATTTTTAAACATATTGATTTTTGCTAAGACTAAGTAACAACTGTAAACTGATATTTATTTATATAGTTTTATTGAATAATTTTAGGTATTGTAGATACATTTGCACCTCAGTCATTGCAAAGTTATATAAGTGGTATTGTATATTTTGCCTGTTCTTTTGCTATTTCAATTTATATTGTTCATATAATTTGTATTTGTTGCTGATTGAAGGATATTGTTTATTCAAAATTGGGTTTTTACCTGTAAAACCTAGGATTTATCTTTAAAAAGTTTTCGAAATCATAAGTTTTATCGGTAAAACCTAGATTCCAACAAAGTGGATTGGTAACTCCTGTTTTCCTGCAGTGGCTGAAATGGAACCATATTAAAGCATACTTTGGACTTTTACCAAGCAACTTTGGTGATAGCTAAGTTTTGCCATTAAAGCTTAAAATTTACCAAATTTTTGATTTTTTCTGTTACATTACATATATTCATAACTTATACTATTGACAATTACTGGCCGAGTTGTTTTTAAAAATAATATGCTGTCTTAGATTAATATTGAAGTTTTAATCTACTATAATTAGAGACAGGGTTGGGTTTTTGCCGTCAAAAATTGGTTTTTGACATGACAGTGGTAAAAACCGTCAAAAACCTACTGTTTTTTTAAATTTATGGCATATAGCGGACAATATATTATTTTCACATAATTGCCTTTATAAATGAGTGTTGTAAATGATTGCTATTGATTTTGCAACTATATACATGCATTCTTATAGAAGGATATACATTCATATAGAAATATTGTAATATACTTATTGAAAATAGTGATACTTACTTTTATCACTATAGCTTGATATGCAAAGGATTCAAAATTTTGCACTTCTTAATTGTTAGATATAAACAAACAAACAAAAAAAGCTTGGAACTATTAATAAATTCAAGAACTAAAAAGAAGAATTTAAAATTTGGCATTTCTTAAATATTGGAAATAAGCTAAACAAAACTTTGAAAACTTGTAATTACTAACAAATTCTAAGTCAAGAGTGACTTGACATTCTTCAGTAATGTAATATGCCAAACAAAATGATGCTTGGAAATGTTGAAAATTTTGTTTAATATCCTAATATTTCACTTCAAATAGTATGTTTTGATATAATCATGTTGGGAAAATGCAAGAATCTGTCCTTAAATATCTTTTAACAACTTTTTTTCTAATTTTATTGCCCAAAAATGAATTAGTTTTAAATTATAAGCAGTTAAACTCAAATAAAAATACAGTTTTACCAAAACTATGGGTTTTTGACAGAGGGGTTTTTGACATGACGGTAACCATGGTATAAACCGTCATGTGTCAAAAACTTGCCATCCCTGATTAGAAACAATACATGTTGTTGCTTATCCTCTTCAGGCCTGACGAAGTCAGACCAGATCTATGAACCCGTTGACCTGAAAAAAATCAAACACCAAAAGAGGAGTAGAGTAAATGTCTTCCCAGAGAAGACCAAGACAGTTCAGGATGTGATCGGTGGAAGCCCGGTGTATATGGCATTTAGGGCAGAGGGGGTAGGTTTTAGTTCCCTCAGAGAATAGTAAACCTTTAAGATGGCCGGTAGCTAGGCGGCAGATGGTGGTGCAGACTCTCCTTTCAAAGGGAAGGGTCAAAGAAGCTCCAGGCTTATTTCCCTTGTACCAATGGTGGGTCGGGGAAATCAACCAGTCTCTGAGAAGCTGGGATTTCTTCAGGGAGTAAAGTTAAAGATAGGTAAGATCAGAAGAGGTAGGGTGCAGTTGGTTGCAACCCTCTTTAGCTAGGCTGTCCGCTAAATCATTACCATAGATACCGACGTGAGAAGGAACCCACTGCAGGTGAATATTATGTTGGAGGGACAAGAGTTTTAGGTTGTTTACGATGAAAATACAAGTTTTGTCGCCAATTTGGGTCCGGTTGTTGAGATATTGCAGGGAGCTGCTGCTATCAGAGAATATCCAAAGGTCTTTAAAATAAAGGTCATTTTGCATAACAAATTCCAGACCCCTGTTGATATCCATAAGTTCTCTTCTGAAAACAGAGCAGAAGTCTGGGTTTCGCTGGCAGAGGGAAAATTTTTCATCAGGAGTCTCGATGTAGACTCCGCTACCAGCATGACTATCAAATTAGCTGCCGTCAGTGAAAATTTTTGCGTCTTGTTTTGGAATAGAGTGAATAATTTCGAGAGCCAGTTGCTTTAGATGTTCGGGCAGGAATTCCTTCTTATTGACAGGAGCGGGAAGGTTGAAATGGAAGAAAACTTCTGGAAGATCTTCAGAAGGGTTCAAAGAGCTGTGAAGGGAGTGCAGCTCTACATTATCGACAAGGAGGTTTTGAAAAACTATTTATATAGAAACAATACATTTTTGTAGCATGCATTTTTAAACACTGAAAAATGTTATTACTTTTTTCATCTATATTCAATACAGGATTTTAAACTAATTCACCTTTTTAAAATTATCAACTTCTTTTTCATTTACAGCATAAAGAATATTTTTATCTTTTATACATTTTTTAAGTATTACTAAAAATTAAATGGGATCATTTTTGAAGTTGTTCAATAAGATTATTTTAATTATTTTTATAGTTGTTGGTCAGCAGAAAAAGAAATTATGGAGAAAATCACCAAGCCAATCTAAATCATCTGAACTCAAAGAAACATTTAATGCTGTGTCCCATTCTTCATCGAGGCCTCAACCTTTCTTATCCGATGAAGTATTGAGTTTTTTTTTTTAGAATCTCTTATTTATATTCATGCTAAATTCAGTGGTTACTGAATTATTACATAGTAATTACATGATATTCGAAGGAGGGGGGCACTATTTTTCCTCATATTTTTTTTATTTAACTATTTCATCTAGTAAACATTTTTAGCAAATTTTAAATTCGTGTACTAATGTAATAGATAAACTAAAAATTGGTTTTTAAGTAATTTAAATAAAGGTTATTCGTTAATTCAACTTTTTAAAATGCTCTCAATTTTTTAATGGATTTTTTAAATTATTTATTTTTGGAATGCAGTAAAACCTTTTTTAACTATTCTGTGACCACATGTTTGTCTTTACAGGAAGATAATGCAAGTTTAAATGCTTCATCTGTAAATAGAGCAATACAGACCAGCATACCATTAGTTAGTTTTGGCAATAATACAGATGATAAAATCACTTGGTACCTGGAAGCTCTGAGACAAGGTGAACTGTTATCCCACCCATTTGCTTACACGAGAGAATCGTCAAAAGAACATTCCCACCTCGCCACCTCGATGAATAAAAGACGAACTTTAAACGGTGATATTTTGGACACTCATGTGAACTGCTTTTCAAAATCAAAAAAACCCTTTTCTCCTAGAGTAGTGGCAGACACTGCTGTGAAATCAAAACTAAAAGAAATGCGATGCTATCAGCCTCCTGTAAGAAGAAAGAAAAAAAGCAGTGAAAATTCTTCAGACGTAATTTTTTTTTTGGAATATAATATGATAAATCAATAAAGTTAAAGCAATATGTAGTGATTCTGCTAGACTTTGGAAATCACAGGTTTTTTTTTTTAGGACACCAGGACTTTCATGTTTCTGGGTCCCTTTTGGCTTATAGTGTGCCTTTATTTAAAATATGACCTCTCAACCTTTTTGTCTATTGATTAATATTCACAGTGATTATATTGTTTTTTCGTTTGATTGACAAAAGAAAGAATTTCAAATCAAGAAGTTATATTTGAACCTACAAGGTTTTTAATTAGGGCTGATGAAACAAAGCAACAATGTAATTTGTTTTGCAAAATTATTCTGGTATTCTCCTCCAGTTATTACTAACAAAGGGAAAGAACAATTTTTTTCTATAATCTAAAGTTAGATTGTAAATTTGCCTACATAAATCTGCTGGGGTGCAATTTTTTTCCACGCTGGAGGTATGCACTACCAGGGGATGTGGCGCATTCTCTGTTTCATTAATTTTCACGTCCCCTCTATAGTTTTTGGCGTGTTATAGTTTGAAAGCTGAATTACTGATGTAAAAAAGCACAAATAATTTCATTTAAACAGATTTGTGATTGTGCCAGTACTGCACTGAAGCTTCTTCCATGTTGATATACTGAATTGTTTGTGTTTTCAAACTAAATATGCTTCATTGCAGTAGATTGCCTGTCTGTTTTTATGATATAATTTGTGCTTTTTTTCCGAATTGTTTTAACTATATTTACATAACATAATTCTCCATTTGTAATTTGAAAATGATAAATAGTTCTTTATTTTGCATGAAATGACACTTTTTATGATGCTTTTAATATTGCATTGTTTATATAACAATATTGCTTATAATCTTTCTTTATAAAGTACAGAAAAAATGTTTATTGTAATACTTTCAGGGATGTGATTCGCGAATCTCTGCTTTTTTCAGATTTTTCCATTTTTCCCACTAATTTCCGCAGAAATTTTTTTTTTGAACAAGTTAAAGTATTTTATGAGGAATTTAATTTTCCTCAGAGCGAAAGTATTGAAGTCCTCATTCCTCCCTCTGAAGTTTCTCTAAAAATCATTTCCTTGGGATAAAACTGGTTGAACTTCATACAGGAATGAGGTTTTTTCGCTTTTGCCTCCCGAATGTCAGCCTTTTTATCAAAAACTCTGATTTTCTAAAAGTTTAGTTTTTTTTTTTTTTTATAAATATCCCGTTTTTTTTTTAAAAAAAATCTCAGTCGTNTTTTTTTTTTTTTTTTTTTTAAATTTAAAATTCAGTTGTTGAAATAAAATAATTATATTCATTTACGATTTTCAAACAGAAAATTCAAACTACGCCCTAGCTGCTAACCCTTCCGTATTTTTACTTATTTATTAGCTATTTTTTCCGCTTTTACGCACAGAAAACAAGATTTTCCGTATTTTTATTCGCCCACCGGATAGCTCGTATTTTCGCAATTCAGACCTCGCAACCCTGTTGTCTGGCATGAAAGCAAACGAAAAAAAAGAGGTGGATTAGCGGTGAAAATATTTATTTGCTCACTCAATTAATCTTGGAAATTTTTATTTATTATGTCTAAGCAAAAACAATACAAACAAGCCTTTTAGAAATCCCAGGTCCAGACTCTGCAAATATATCGATTCTTATTCACGCAAATTTAATATCAATCATTGATTTTCGTATTTACCTGATTTAAAAGTTGCGCATTGTGATTCTTATTTACGCTGTTTAAACATCGTACATTATGATTCTTATTTACGAGATTTAAAAATCCAATATCGTGTTTAGTATTTATGCATTTTTAAAATCGCGATTTTATTATCAAACATCGATTTTCATATTTACCTGATTTAAAAGTTGAGCGTTGCGATTCTTATTCAGGCGATTTCAATATCGTACATTGCGATTCTTATTTACGAGATTTAAAAATCCAATATTGCAATTTGTCGCTTTTAAAACCCTATGTAGCAATTCGTATTCATACGAGCTTAAAATCCAATGTGATTCGTTTTTACGGTTGTAATATTAAACATAAATTTTTGTATTTATACGTGCTTTAAAAAGTAAACATTGGGATTCGTATTTGTGGGATTTAAAAATTATGCATCGTGATTCGTATTTACGTGATCTGAAAATTAAGTATCATGATTTTTATTTTCGCATTTTTTAAAATTTGATATAAAGTTTCATATTCATGTAATTTAAAAGCCTTATATTCTCTCAATTTAAAATCATGCATGTAATTCATATTCATGCAATTTTAAAATTAATCATCGGGATTTATAATCACATACAAGTTTGAAAATCACACTTTTTTTGTCAAATTTTTGTGTGTATATATATACAGTCGAACCTCGATATCTCGAACTTGAAGGGAGAAGAGAAAAAATTCGAGATATCGAAAATTCAAATTATCGAAAATCGCATGTTATCGATGGTAGAATAAAGAAAAATGCTCTTTACATACCTTATTTACTATTCCACATTTATTCTAAAAACACTTTTTACACTTTCATTTAAAAAGAGATTCAATTATTGTTTGCTTTAGAGATGTGTAAGAAAGTTTGTCTATAACACTTTCTAAGTGGACTATAGCTTTAAATGTCTCCTCTGACATATTCGGCTGCCTCTCAATAAATCTCCTTACATTGTCCACTGCAGAAAGTGGTTGTTTGTTAGTAACATTGGGCGGTAAATCTTCGATTTTCTTTTCCTCTTCTTCTGATAGTTCACAAGAAGCTTTCGTTTGAGCGATGATATCATTGTCATCCCACTGACCACACACTGTTACTGCATCATCTACGTTTACAAAGTCATGAAATTCCATGTCATCAAGCTTCATGAGTCCGGTCAATCTATTCCAATCATTTTCGGTGCAGTTTTCAGCAGAATTAACGATATTGATTGTTTGACTACTTTCGTGATCTTTAATGAATCCAGACTTCTTAAAGCCATTAATTATCGTAGAGGAAGACACATCATTCCATGCCTTGTCAGCCATTCTTAAAATTTTTAATTTTTTTTGGAATATTTTTTTAATTTTAGAAAAAAAATCTACACTATTTGTGGAAAAAAATTAGAGTTATTGGGGAATTAGAAAAAAAAAATCGTGAAATCAAGTTTTTTTTAACATTGAGTGTATAGGAAATTTGAAGGGAATTTTTTTTCCTTCGAGATATCGAAAAATTCGTGAAATCGAGGTTCGAGTTAGGGAGGTTTAACTGTATATATATATTCATTCTTGGATTTCCTCTTTTTTACTTTCTGACTACTCTCATCCCTGTACTTTGTCATGTTAAAACTTTTTTTTTGTTGTGATTTAATGGCAAAATTCTATTCAAATATTCACACAAATATAAAATATTCTTTTTTTTATCTCTGAAAGTAAAATTAATTTTATGTATTATTTTAAACTATAATTGTAGTTAAATTTCAAAGTTTTGACTCTCAATTATTTCTATAGAACTTAGATAAAAGTTAAAATTAAACAAATCTTTTTTATTTTTAAAAAAAATCACATATGTGGTGTGGATCATACATGTACTGATTCTCTATTTTGTAGATGTTGGCTTCTATTTTTTTTATTAGAAAATTTAAAAATCAACATATCTGGAAAGTTTCTTAATATATTCTAATGACTGAATTCAACAAGTTTCCTCAACATATTTATTTTGTGGATTACGTCTAAGAAAATGTTCTGGAATATTTTATTTATTGCAAATATTTAATTTTTTACTCACGAGTCTCTTGTAGAAACTGAAGTTGCCCTTTTTATTATCAATCCTAACTAACATATCCTCTTTTTTTAGTTGAATTTTTTTAAATTTTAAACTAAAATATTGTGTTTAGTAAACTTGAATTTTTTAATCTTCACCTATTTTTGAATAGCTTTAAGGACTAAATGTGATAAATCAATTTAATACTTTTTATTTTTAAATTAAGACTTTTGAAAGTTACCATGGTGAAGATTCAGAGGAAGATTCAAAAGAAGAAGAAAAAGATTTTCATAATCCTCCAGAGGATGTTGAAACCCAGATCAACATGAAGACATCCTCTGAAAGAAATTTTAATCTTAATGACAGATTGCATGATTATTTAATCCACCAGAACAGAGTTAAATTTGAGAGCAATGGCAAAAAAGAAAGTCCAAATAGGTAAAACATCTTATTTTCTTCTTTCAAGTTTGCGGATAGGTATTGTGCAAATACTTTTATCAGTGCTAACTATTATGCTTTATTTGTAACATGACAATTTCATAGCCAAAATTGCAGTCTTTGGGTTGAGTAATAAAAAGAAAGGTTTTTGAAAACTCCCATCATAATCTGTTTAAAATTTTTATTTTTTTCTTTTCTTTCTCTAACTACCAAGAATTACAAAATTTTGTTGTTTGTTACTAAATTATGATTTTAATTTCTTCTGTTTCTTAAACAATTTAAAAAACAATAATAAGGAAAGGAAACAAAAACAATTTGATAGAATGACTGGATATATGTTAATTAAATACGAAAAAAAAAAGAAACTCATCTAACAATCTATTTTAAAACTTAGAGAAAAGGTAAAAAGCAGAAACTTAATTCTGAAATGCTGTGAGATTATTAGATGCAGAATGATAAAAAGGCAATGATGGCTGTTTTTAATTTAACTAAAAACTAGAAAATTATTCAATTTAATTTTATAATGATGCATAGAATTACAATATTGTATCATTTTTAATTTAGTACCTTTTCTAAGTAACTTTTTTTTTTATGTAGTAAATTCATGCATAATACCATTATGGTTTACCAAAATGGGCTCACATTGAAAACATCAATTTTTTTCAAAGGTGGATATTTTCAAAATTTATTGTACTAATAGGTTTTACTACAAAAGCAAAATAATTGTAAATTATTGTCATTTAAACAAATACTTGAAACATTTGAAAATTAATTAACTTGTTGTTTTGTTGACTTATTCCTCTTGGTCAGCCGCAGGCTAGACCAAGTCAATGAGCTCGAAAGTCTTCAGGAAATCAAATACAAGTAAGGGACCAGAGTAGAGATCTTTCTTTTCCAGTCCAAGACAGTGTAAAATGTGATCGGGAGAAGCCTGTGCAGAGTTGCACCTCGTGCACGTTGAATAGGTCTTTCGCCCAAGCTCAAAAGAGAGACACCTGATGTGTCCACTTATGAACCTACTTATAGTGGACTGTATGGCTCTATCAGCCCCTATGGTAAGTGCCCCACCAGGAGTCTGTCCATTATACCAAGAGTGGGCCGGAGGGATGTTCCATAGTTGTTGGTTAGTGGTTCTGATCTTGAGCAAATCGCAGGGAAGGTCAAAGGTCGACTTGAAATTGTGCTATCAGAAGCTCCCTGCATGGCCAAAAGATCAGCATTTTCATTACCAAAGAGGCCTATGTAAGAGGGAATCCATTGAATGAAGATTTTACGCTGATGAGTTAACTTAACATTAACTTGTTATAAATTAAAATGCATTCAGATTGTTTCAAAAGTTAATGCGCCTTTAATTAGGGTGGAAATTTGAAGTATTTGTTTAAGAACACATTGGAAATTGTAATTCCTAAAATCTTAAGAATATTTTTTTTAAATTAATATGAAAATTTCGTTATTATATTTTTATTTATTGAATTTTCATTACAGTGTTTAACTTTTGAGATATTAATTTTGCATTTTTTAAATATTTAGGCAAATTTCAGTGGTTCAAATTATAATGAAACCAATTTACTCTATTTATGAAATATTTTCAGTTTTTATGAAAATAAAATTATTAAGCTTGAAAAAGTTATTGAATTTTCTTATGCAAGCTTCAAGGTATAATTTATAACTTAAGTTATATATTATTATAGAGCTTAAAAAATTGCTTTTATATAATTTGATAATATCTATGAACTTTGTTATTCAGTTTTTATGATTGCATTGAAATTGAATTAGGTTTTAGAAATCTTTCTGAAGAAAGAAGTTTAGGTATGTAACTTTAACATTTTGCAATCAATAAACAGTAAATATGTTATATTTACTTTTATAATTAGCTTTATGTAAAACTGCTTCCTGCCAAATTATGCACTTAAAATAATGAATACAAAACTGTTATTAGGAAATTGATTTTACGCAATGTTACTAAACAATCTGGTGAAAACATTAAATTGATTTTATCGTCACCAAAAGTTGAATAGACATTTAAACAAAATTGAATATTAAGTTGAAATGGTAACCGAACAAAAGGATTAAGTTTAAATTTTATTTCAGTAGACTCAGTAACTATGTTAATGCAATAAAAAAATTTTGGGATCCTTTAATTAAGAGAATTTAATGCAACAATTTGTTTTTCGTTAAGAAATGAAAATAATGACGTAGCAATCTGAAACTTCCCAAAAAATGCTTACATTGCAACAAAAAAAAGTTATTAATAGTTAGCAAATATTTCACTTTCATATTAGAAACAAATCTTATAATCTCATTATTGACTCAGGAATAAAAATTTTTAAATATTCCTGAAAGGACCTGAGTTTTTTCAAACCCTGTATACCATTATATAGAATAAAGTAGTATATACATCTTAAGATCGTGCTAGATTGAATTTAGTTAACACTAATTTTATATATTTCTATGTTATACTTCTGATTACTGATAGATAGTTTGGAAAGTAGGCACTTCTGTTTTATTATGGTACAGTATCATTCAGTCTTATTAAAAATTCATTTTCAAGCCTTTGATTTTAAAAATTGAGGAAATACTTAAACAAACATTTTATGCAAGGTATTTCATTTAAATGAAATGAAATTTATTTGCCAAACCTGTGAGCTCAGGATGTAGATAAATTTTTATTATGTTTATAATATTTTAAGAATTAACCTTCTATGTAATAATTGTTGCATTTTCTAAATTTCAATCTGATAGTTTTTCTTCATCAAAATCATTTTTCCCTATTGGTCATGCTAAAGATTTTTATGTTCCGAGACTGCCAGTTTTTAAGCATGAAGAAGCATTGTCAAAGCATTTGCTTCTTCATTTATAGGGATCCTCCTATGAATCTTGTATATTTTTAAAACATCCTATATCATTAAAATACTCCTATTTTTCCTACACAGTGAGGTCATTGAGCAAAATATAGTACATTACATCCCATAATGTATAAATAATTTGAAATACCACCTATGTAAATATTTTGCTTCAAGTAATAATAGCAGATTCTTTTGATGAAGTTACAGATGAGTGGAATCTCTATTTTTGAATTAAAAGATAATCAAGATCTTTCCTAATACAGCCATATACAAAAAAGGTTTCTCTGATAATTGTTGCATCTTAAAGATCAAGAATGTATATCATCAAAGGTTGTTCTGAATGAAGAAACCTTTCTAAATTATTTAACGAGATTTCCGAATATGAGCCTTAGTTTTAAATTTGCTATTTTTGCAATATTTTGTAAACTGTGATATTAACCTTTACTTATTTTGTGTTAAGTTCCTATGCAATGTAATATACATTTTAACTTACTCATTTACTAGCTAAATTCATTTTGTTTTAGTTATATGTTATGTAACATAGGTTCTAGCTTATCTACTAATCCTGTTCTAACTTATTTTCTAGTTCTAATTTATTTATTTTTTAAGCTTATGTGTTCTTCAATAATAGTTTAATTTACAGAAATGATGAAGACAAATATCTTGAATTTTTGAGTAAAGTTACAGAACATATTTTAAGAAGTGGAGTTTATTCTGATCGGTATAGAACATTGATTTTTATTATTATTCATATTTTTTTACTTCCTTATACAATTAATTGATTTTAAATAAACTTCATTTTCAGAGCTATCCAGCAAGCTTTTGACTTTCATATGCAGTTTTATCAAGAAGATGACAACAAAGTATGTAATGTTTCTGTGTAATATTCTGTTCATGCTTTGTTAATCATTTGATTAAATTATTTTAGTTAAAGATTTTAAGTTTTAAACAAAAAATAATATTGCACTACTAAATGTGATGCATTACAAATAGATGTTGGTAAGATGTGAAACAGTCATGATTATTTTATCAAAAAAAAAAAATGTTTTTACTTAAATTACAGTTTTATCTGGACTACGTATTTTAGTAACGTTCTATGATTGCCACAATCAAATGCTCCTATTCATTAATTTTACTCTTATATTGGTGATTATTTTTCTTTACCTTTTGTGTTAACTGCAAAGCATATTGCTAGTTGTCAGCTGTAAGGTTAGGATTTCTGTTAGTTGGTTGTTTATCTTTAAATTAAGTTATTTTAAGATATATAACCAATAATAATTAAGATATAGTTTTTGGTGGCATCGATATTATGAGAGTATGAATACTCCAATCACTCATTTTTGTTCATTACATCCACAGTCAAGTTAACTTGCTCTTCAATTGCTATGTTATTCTTCTTAATGCTTGTATACTTCTACACAAATATATTGAATTTTTGTTCAATGCTTCTAATCTTCAATAAATGAATCTCCACAAACTTCTTTTTCCATTGGCGAAAACTAACCTCCTAATTGTTGAGCTAAACCTTACAAATTGTCAAACGTTGAAAGTTATCAACTGTATTCAATAGGTTATTCCAGGAAGCATAATATATGCTTATTTAAGTAGATGTTTTTATATTTATGTATTAAAGAATTCATTTATTTAGAGCAGAATAGACAAAAACTGATTCCATATTAGGAGAAAAAAATATAAATGCCTACACAATAAAAAAATGGTATTTACATAAAAATTAAAATAAACAATAACTCAAGTGTTGAAATTTTTTTATCGTTACTGTACATTTGCTCATCTAAAGTTATGTATAAAATATATTTATATATAATATGTAAAATATATTTTTCAATTTTGCTTTAATTATATTTTAGTGTTTATATAAATTAAAAATCTGCACATATATTAAAACTTACTGTTCAGATACCAATGTGTTTTCAATTTTTCGAAGGATATTAGATGCATATTTAATTTTTTTAAAATAAAGAATGCTGGTTTTATCCCTGGCATCAAGTTTGAAATAATTTGTTGTTTTGCTTTTGTTGTTGTTGTAGTTCATTTACGTCACACTAGAGCTGCACAATGGGCTATTGTTGTTTTGCAAACATAAATTAAAATATCTATTGCTTCACAAACTCTATTTCTAAATGCTTCATATTGCTCTTCCATAATTGTCTAAGCCTTAAATATATTTGATGTTCTAATGACATAACTTTTCGAATTCAGGGCTGCTAACTTTCTACATGTTGCGCGAAAATTTATTATAGTTCTGTTCTAATTACATGATTGTATCATTAAATTATATAATTAATTTAATGTTTTAATTATGGATTTTTCTATTTAAAATATCCTTTAAATTTCATGTTTTAGTTCTAATTTCTAAAATATCCTTAAATGTTTTTAAATACAGGATAAATTACAATTGCTTCTAAATCAAGTAATGGAAGGCATGAAAATTTCTAGCAGCGACTCGGAGGAAATTCCCTGCAACAAAAGTTCACCATTTTTAAGTCGTCCAAACACACCTCCGGTCAAAGAACTTCCGGGTATTTTCCCATTTACTGCTAGAAATGATGAATCAACTGAAGAATATCCACCAAGCATATCTTCTCAAGCACAAAACGTTGAAGACCTACTAAGTGATCCACACTTATTATCAGATAGTGGCATTAGTATCAGACAAACTGATTCTTGACCATTAACTTAATATTAATTGAGTATTTAAAAATTGACTTTTTGTATAGTATTTTATTCTGAACGCACAATTACTTTTTGATTTATTTTAAAGTTGAATTGCTAATCAAAAACCTTCAATCATTTTTGCAGTTTTTGAGTGAGTGTTATTTTTTATTGTTATTTATATTACTGTAATGACACATTTTTTGTTCAACAGTTTTATTTTGAGTTGAAACAAATTATTCTATATGTTATGATATTCAATTAAAATAAATATAAAATAATCTTATTCTTATAATTCATTCTGTTTAAAAGTTTTTATATACCTATAGTAAATAAAAAGTATGAGGTTTTAATTTGAGACATACAGGCAAAATATAAAATATGCACTTTAAAAAAGTGTATATTCTTAAAATAGCATTTATAATTGTTTAATAAAAAAAATTAGTTCATTATGTAATTAATATAGAGCATAGTTTAAATATTTTAAAAAGTTGTATTAGTTTGACCAAACCGTACACATATTCCATTTAATACAATTTCCGTTCCATTTATGTTGATATAAAATAACTTGTTGGTTTTACTATTCTTCACTTAGAAATTTTCATAAAATTTCTAAATAAATCAACGCTCTCTGCCGATATGTTATTTTACTTCAAATTTACAATTTATTATTATTAAGCATTTTTGCAACTATAGAACAATCTTAGTATTTTATGATTTCTTTTCTGTTTACATAACATGTTCACAAAGTAATTATTATCAAAATGATTAGAAAATAGTAATTAAATCTTCTCTGGGCAGTTTTTAGATTTTAAGAAAGAGAACGGAAATTAAACTTAACATACATACCATGTATATTTATTTTATGCTTAAAATGTATATAATTATATTGGAACCCCTTAGATATTTTTATTTTTAAACTATGAAACTTAATAATCAAAAAATCATAAATTTGTTTTGCATTATTTTTGAATTAACAGGGCTGAAAAAAATTTGCACTAACATTTTACTAATAATAGGCAGTTTTAATGAAGCATTGTCAGGAGTAATCTGACTTAGTTTTATGTAGTAAAACAAGATAATGCAAAAAAAAAAATCCTTTCAGTTTTCAAATAAATTATGCCCATTTGAAAATCTACATTATTCATATACAAAAAAATGGAAACATTTACGCCCGTATTCACCATTGACCCTAACCCTCAGTCAGAGTTCAAAACAGGTTTTATGAGAGCAACTCTAGGTCAGAGTCCAAAATTTCATTTCACCGTGTGCGTAACTGCGAGTTACTCTAACCCAGAGTTAAGTAACTTTAAACTAAAGATATTCCCGGTTAGAGTAACCGCGCATGCGCAGTAAACGAGTGTTTGCTCATTTACTTCGTTTTCTTCGTCGGTATTTTTTATATTTCTGCTCTTTTTCGTTTGATAATTTTAAATGTTTTAAATTTTGAATTCTTTTTTTGTATTTTTAACCGGCAGATTTCCCCGGTTTGAGCAAACGCGGATACAAAGAAGGAGATTTTTTATTTATTTATGTTTTCAAAAATAACACTTTTGATGTTCGGTTGCTTATGTTCAATGAGGTCAATTTTTTCACTTGATGCAACTATAATTAATTTATATCTTTGCCTTGCCTTAAAAAAAATAGCATACCATAATATTAATAAAATGAAAATATATCAATAAAATGAAAATTAAATAACACTTTATTTTGATGTTCGGTTGCTTTTTTTATGTTTAATAAGATCATTTTTTTACTAGATGTAACTATAATTAACTTACATCAAATAAATGCTTATTAATAAAATGAAAATTAAATTTTCTTGAGTTAATATCTTCTACAGAAGATACTATATATATTTCTCAAATTATTATTAACAGTCGTTACAGCACTTAAATAATTTTTCACTCGAAAAAAAAGGTCGTGGATAATAAAGATTGCGGCTACAATAATTCAAATGAATAGTGTAAGTAAGAAGATTGTAAATAATTTTACTAACTTTTACTTATTTTTTTAAAAGAAAGAAAACAACCGATACTTGAAAAAAATATAAAATTTAAAAAAGAATATAATTCATTAAATGTTTTTAGATTTCAATAATATCTATCGAGATGATAGATCTTGCCCAAAAATAAAAATAGTTTAGAGTTGAACTTCCAAAATAATGTGCAATATTTAGATATGAAGATAACGAAAAGAATTTAAAACTTTTTAAATCCATAAAATAAAGCTATTAATTAAATTTAAAAACATATACATTATTTTAAATATATATTAGAAATTATGCTGAAATAAATATTACTTAATCAATGCAAATTTTGATCCGAGGTAACATTTTAACTACACAATAATTTGCATCAAATAACTTTGCAAATCAGGAAATTTAGAATTGTATAAGCATAAAATAATCTGCAGAATATTTCGAAAAAATAGGATCATTTGGAAGAGATTTATTGCTTAAAACTATATGAAATTAAAATGCCCGTCTTTAGTTATAATTTTTAATATATAGCCTGACTACTTTATGACATATGGGGCATTTATACAACTGATACATTTCCATGTACAATTATCGAAATAATTAAATTTTTGAAGGCATAATTTTTTTAAAATTTTAAGGTTTTGGAATATTTGTTCCGATTATGACATTTTCCTTTAAAAAAATTGTTATCTTATTCACCATATCACCGACGTCGATTCTCTCTTATCATCAGCAGATGGCAGCACAATAGTAGTTATTTATAACTTCTGAATAACATGAATGTGTTGATTTATGCTTATCTGTACTAAGAAGTTTATTATATACAATTTCATTTAAAGTTTTAAAAAAAAAAATTCTTCTCAATGGTTTAAGTTATCGATAATATGTTATGAAAGGGAAGAAAAAAGAAAGATCAAAAATACGCTAATAAGGATGATAATGATGTTAACATAATCCCCTTGATTATAGTGTAAAATAAAAGTATTAAATTACTGCGTGAAATAAAAATATTTTTAATTGAATTTCAGTTACATTTCTATTGTTGCTTGCGGCTTTATGATATCCATAATAATAAAATATCTAAATTCATAATAATAAAGCTCGCATCCTTTTGCTCATCAATACAAGTCAGTTAAAAACGAAACTAAACATATTTTTTATTTGACCAGTAAAAGAGAGATTCAAATTTAATTACTCGATGTAATCTCTTTTTCTTCTTTTAATAGAATTTTTTTTAAAAAAAATAGCAACAAAAATTGAAAACAAACGCTATTAATACGGCTATAAATCTACCGCCGGGACGCAATCTACCGCTTGTAACTGCCGGTCAAGAAACCCGCAGTTAAGAAACCGACGGTCAAAAAATAATGGTGGAATCGCTTTTGAACTCTCGGTCAAAGTTTCCAAACCGGGGGTTTTGGAACTGGGAGTTACGCGTTAGGTCAGAGTCAATGGTGAATACGGGGGTTAATGGACTCACCAGGTCAAGATTTCAAAGATGACAAAGGTTCCGAATCTGCTAATTATTTTCACTAAATTAGCGTAACTTAAAAAGGTGAACAAAAATTCAAAATTTTATCTTATGAAATGCAAAGCCGAACAAATGAAAACTACTTTGAAATTACATCCATCTTATTTTATCATAAATAAAGTGGTCAGAAATATAGTTTTTTTTTAACAAGAGTTCTACTATGTCTTTTAAATAAAAAAAATTGTCTTTTTTTAACTATTAATATAATGTGTTAAACAATACTTTTATAAATTCTAATGCATAATCACCAATTTTTAAGTCTCATTTTACTAATAAAGTATTTCTGGGATTTTTATGTTGTATTTCTAGGTTATCATTATTGGCTTTTACTTATTTTTTGTGTGTGGTTGATTTTTCCTGCTTTTTTATAAATCTAATGGGGAAATTCCTTAACTTTTGATGAGAAATCGGATGTAATTAAAAATTACTTCAATATATTTTGCTATTCCTACTCAATAGCTTAACCAGAATAGATCAATCTTCAACTGCTAAAACTTGTTTGGTCATTTATTTTTCATCATAAAAGCAACATTGCTTTGCAGCATTAAAACAATTTTTATGGGTACTATAAATCAAAACCTTGAACCCAATGCAAGCAATGATGTCATGCAAGTTTTTTTTTTTTTAACTAAAATATTCAGATTTTTATGCATATGAAAAAAAAAGGTTAAAATATTTATATCAAATTAGAACTTTTCAACCCTGGTCACTGCCTAGTTTTATTAAAACTGTGTCGTATATAGGTAAAAGTTACATACCGAGAATTTTTATACAATTTAAATTCATATAAACAGAAAATAATATCAAGATTTAAACAGCCTTTCATATTTTCTGATGCATACTTAAAATCAGAGATCTACAAATCTCAGATTGCTATGTTGCCTAAAAAGTCATTGCTGACGCCTAATAAATATTAAAGTAAACTATAACATAAAAGCTGATACACTTTTTTTCATTCCATACGATACTAGACACCTAGAAATTTTGAATTCTTTTGACCCCTGCTTATAATATGTAGTATATTTCATTTAATTAAATGAAATGTATAAAATTAAATTAAAATAAATCTGTAAATAAAATGCTTTTAAAAGAAATTTATTAATTTAAAAGAACAAAAGCAATTAGATTTAATGAAACTACATACAATTTAAAAAAAACTTTTTTGTTCTCAAAACAAAATCACCAATAACACTCCACTTAAAGAAACATGAACTAGTTCATTAGTTGAATATTGAGGAAAGACTGCACTGAGTACAAACATTACATAGATGCACAAAGTAGCAAAAATACTGTTATAAATCAAGTCTGATTGAAAAATAACGACCATTTATTTTGTTTTAACCTTTTAAGTAATTAATAATGATAAATATTTATTCTAAATTGAATAAATTTGAATCATGCATTATGTTTCACAATAAAATATATTTTTTATGAAGAAATAACAGTTTGAAATGTATTGTTATGATTTTTTTTTCAATAATATTTTATTTGTGAAATTAAACTAACTTCTAAACTAAAGTTATGCATTAAAACAAAATCTGATTTAAAGAAATAAATCTGTTTTTTTTTTAATCTAAAATTTTTTTAAAAAAATCACGAATTCTATTAAAATCTGTCTAAATCTACTACCATATTGATATCTATGCCAAAACATTCACCAAGTTTTGGCAACTTCCAAGTATTGGCCAGCTCGAAAAATATAACTTGTCAACTTGAAAGGTAACTGGGCAAACCATAATATATATATTTTTAAAATTTTTTGAAAGTTAAAAAAACCTTGATAAAGGTAACAGGAGTGAACAGATACCAATAGTAAAATATTTTCTACTATTGTATTCTTTTAATTATTAACTAAAAATAATAAAATTAAATAAAAAGAAACGTGCCACAATAAATTAATTACCATTTATAATTTTTATTTTCAATAAGTATGATAGTTTTAGTTAAGGTTAGTTAGGCATAAAATTAGCAAGTATAAAATTAAAAAATAAATTATAGTTAATCTAGTATATTTTATGAAATAATATAAATTTTATGCTAACTATTGTGCAACATCTTAATATATAAGACACTGAGAATTTTTTGAAATATTAAAAACTAATAAATTGCAAAAGCTATTTTATACTAATAACTACAAATTGAAATTTACTCTAATATTTTAAATTTATGATAGACATTAAATAAACATGAATATTAAATGTTTTAAATATTATGCTTATTATATTTGTGAATTCATTATTTTGAATAGTAACAGATATTGAAATCATTTTAGATAATTATAACATATTATTCAAATTAATTTAAAACTAGAGGTTTCTGAATAAGGAAAGATTGATATTTTCAGAATGTTTCAATAAAAAAAGATTCAAACTGATTACTATAATTAAGACATAAAGTTTGTAGAAGTACTCAAGCAAACAATGCGCTGAGTAAACATTCTATCTTGAAGTGTCCCCCCCCCTAATTTTATGGAATTTTCTGAAAATTGTGAGAAACAAGCAAAATCCGGTAAAGCTGACAGCTACAAATAACAACAAAATAATTCAATGAAAAATCGTCAACAAGGAAATATCATTACTGAATTGAAAGTTTGAGCATTAATGATTCAAGTTCAGATAATTTATGCTTTTTACAGACATTGAGGGAATCACAACTTAAAAGAGACATAACTGCCTCATCACTGACTTTAACCAGAGCACTCAGAAAAGCTTGATACGTCGACTTCACATTTCCTTCTAATCCTCGTTCCCCGACCCTCGCAAAGGACGACATGATGTGTTGTGGCCAACCACTTTCCACAAGAAATCCGGCTATCCATGGCATTAGAGGAAGTAGGGTGGACAGTGCTTGCATGCCCAGAAACCAAAGTTCCATGATTTCACGCCAAACTTCTCGATATTCCCTCACAATGCAAAACGAAGTCACTCCGTTTATATCTTCGGCATTGTGGGCATCCCACAAAAACTTAACACTAGACGAAAGAAAACCATAGAAACTAGTTTCGCACGTTTTAACTCTTTTATAATACTGTCTCGTTATTAATAAACCCAAAACCGAGAAATTTGCCTTCAACGGTAACATTTCCAGTTTGGGAGTGAACTGGGGCAGAGTGTTAAAAAGAAATTTCAAAAAATAGAAAAACTCGTCCGTTTCAGCCACCAATTCAGATTCGAGGACAACGATATTCAGAAATATGCCACAAAGAGTAGCGAGGGACGTTTCTTTTTCCGGTACTCGTTTATCTTGAAAAGTTCCCCATAAGAAATCCATGTGTTTGAAGAGCAGTGGAAGAAGATCATTTTTGAGCAATATTTCTCGCGTTTTGTCTTCGGCAGTGAGATGACACAGAGGGGGTATAAAAAAGTGAATAACCTTGCACTCTGCTATTTCTTTTCCATATGCTGTCTGCGAGACAGACTTTTTACACACATCAAGAACAAAAGGCAAGATTTCAACGATGTTGTCCTGTAATGCATACGTCTCTTCGGCAAGCCAACAGCACAACACTCTTATCGTTGCCACCACAATATCCTGACAATTTGAAAGCTTCAATACAGGATCGTCTTTCTCCCATAATGCTGACAAGCTTCCTATAAAATCTAAAATAGATTTAAAAGCCATATTTATAGAATTCAGCAATTGCTCAATTGGTTTTTGATTTCCTTGAAAAAGGCTTTCTTCTACCATTATCCCAATAACCCTCTCTAATATACAATAACAAGAACTTAATAAAAATAGTTCTCTACTGACTTCGTCAACTGATTTGTCATCTAAAAGCATACAAACTTCGACACTAGTGATTTGTACTAAAATTGTAAAAAAGCGCTCAGAGCCATCAGAGTCGTCGGCAAACCATCGAGATCCGAATCTGTGCACGATGATCCCGGCTAACTTCAAAGCCGAATCTCTTTGAGTTTTTCCGATTTTACTCTGCAGTATGTTTGACAAACCCTTTTGAATGACACAACTGGTTTCTAAACTCAAGCAATCTGTATATTTCAGTAATAGAGATGTTAAGTAATTGCAAATTTCAAACTTTTTCATCGTTTCATCCGTCTTAAACTCGTGAGCTAGTTCATTAATTAAATCAGTTACGCTAGGATTTTTGTTATATTCAGGTTGAAGTGTGATCATCATGATCACTGCTAAAACTTTAATCTGTTTGGACATTTTATATTGCTTGAGCAATCCATTCAGAATGTCTGGGTTTAATAGGCGCTGTTTACAATCATCTTTTCCTAACATAGCGGCAATAATGTCTAAAGAATCATTCACTGACGCATTTAGCTCATCATAATTATCAGAATTTAGTACTTCAAGCATTGCGGGAACAAAGCACATCACATTCGAATATTCAAACATGTCTGGAAACATACAGAAGCTGGAGAATATGGCGATGGAAAGAGTTTTGTATGGGATCGCACTTTCTTCTTCCTCGGTTTCTAACAACCGCAGAAGAAAACGTTGATCAATAGCGTGAAAAATTTCTTTCGTGTTTTCTTCCGAAAGATTCTCACTTCTTATAAGTTTAGCGATGACCATAAGTGCTGCGAATTTCTCAGTGTCCGTTTTAGCAGCAGTCCAAACCGATTTACTTTTTTCTACAATATCCATGATTTATTTCTTTAAAATCAGCGAAAGGAACTTTATAATTTTTTTTACAGGAATTTATAACTATACAAATAGTCCGATAAGTTAAAAACACATTTACTTATATTACGTGTTTCGATAGCTTTTCTTAAAGTCATGCTTGTTTACAAATATACGCTTCTGGCGGTTTGTTTTTGTAATATTATATACTCGTTTTGACCGAAATTTCATTTGTTGAAATATTGAAAAAAAAAGATTATTGAAATCTAGAATGTCATGGAAACTATAAATATAAATTACTTGATGCATATGAAATTTTAAATTCAAGGTTGCATTTCATTCATTTTGATGAAAAACAATGTTCATGAACGGATTGATAAGCGGATTAAAATGACAGAAATAAGTAACCAAATATGCTCTAAGAATCCGAAATAATAACAAACAAGCAAACGTGCTGCGAGGGACTTCATTTTAGAATTTGATGTAATTTATTACTGGTGTTTTATACTCTGATATTAAATAAGGTTAGTGAAAATTTCTTATTACGTGTGTATTTCTTCAAGTATAAATGCTAAGTATATTGATATAACATTTAATATTCTTGAATTTCTTTATATTGCTTTGCCTGATTGTGGTTGGCAGTTACTTGCGTGTGTATGTTTCTTCTTCTCTCTTCTGCTTCTATTAAAAACTACGTATACGTTAAAATTTTTCCTATCAACCAAGTTGTATCTGCTGTTCAAAATTAAATTTTGTTCGTTCAATATTAATTATTAAAGAAGACAGGTATATTACAATTTAACGTAAGTGAAAATCGTATTCCTTTCCCCTATCCGGGGATATTTCCGTATCGTGATCTGTTGCCCCCACTACAATCGCCAAGAAGGGGCAAATAGATATTAAACTTGCTAAAAAAAGCATGTAGATGTTTGCCCAGGGATGGCTACGAGTTATACATTTCGAGTTGGTCCCTTTCTGTGATGTTTCTTTAGTTTCTCGCGAGCCGCTGCCGGAAAGTAGTCAAGACTTGGCGATAATTCGGTCGCAGATCAGGATACGGAAATCTCCCCTTGAGCAGATCCTGATAAACCAAATTTTAAAAAAATCAGAGACTCATTAAATTAAGAATTTCTTTCAGACCTATGTTACTCAAATTTTGTATTTTGCTATGAAATATTACATTCTTTAAAATTACGTAAAAAGTTCCATGCCTTACGATTCAAAAATTTTTTTACTATTATTATATAAAATGATAAATGTTTACTAAAAGTTATTTATAATATAGAATTATATTTGAATAAACAAATTGTGTGCTTCTAAAGTTTACAAGAGATAGCGAAATATGCAAAAAGTAGAATTAACATTAAGAGGTCCGAACTTTGGATCGCTCTCCTGACCAAACTATTAGGACCCTATATGCCAGACGGTAGCTGCCCCTTATATTTTGGTAGATATAAACCTGAATCGATTGAAAAAAGCCATGTTCATTTCAGCGTTGTTAGAAGGGCGGTCTGCCCCCCGCCTGCCTTTTGATTACTGTAAATGTGCTCCCTATGCCCTTTTTGTGAAAATACACTGCAGCTCCTTAAGAGCACAACCTTTTATTTTTTCAGGAATTTTTTTTATTAACCACCTGTTTTAATGAAAGGTCCATTTCTGATTTAATTAGTTATAGATAACTATTTAACTTGTCTAGTTTTATAGTTAGAATTGGTATGATATACACAATATTAGACCCCAGAATTATTCACATCTTGTATTTGGGGAAATATTTATAAAATTTTTTAAATTTCACCTTAATTTTTTTTCTAATCTTCAACTGTTATTAATTATTTTAGATACCTCATAAATTATTTTAGATGTAACACTTGTACCGAACTCATATTATTAATTCAGAAAAAGATTTTTCTTTTTTTGCTTTATTAAAACAAAAGTTTAAGTAATATTTTAAGCCCCAAATTAAAAGTAACTAATCCATTAAAAAGCATTTTACAGATATCTCAATTGTTATTTTGAATAAAGAATTAAAAAAGTACGACTGAAGACTTTTTATTTATAATATTAAGATGCAAATAAACATTTAACACCTAAATGTTTCACTTCGATAGCCAGTATGTATGAAAATTTAATAGTTCTGCATTAATTGTGTCATTATTTAGCAGCATTCCTTTTTGTAGCAGTTAATGGTTATAATCAAATGCAAGGTTTAATAAAGGAGCATGAGTGAGATATTAAAAATTTCTTCTTTATTTGCACTACAGCCCGGAGTGGGCCTTAGCCTGCCTCACAATATTTCTCTAGACAGCTCTGTCTCTAACCTTTAACTTCCAATTGGAGATCTTTAAAGTTTTTAAATCATTCAAGACATCCTCCATCCATAGTTTCTTTGGTCTATTGCACGTGAGCTTCCAATACAAGATCTTTACCACTCAAATTAAAGATATTACATTTTTTTAATTAAAAAATATTTTAAATTATTAGATTGATGAAAAGGAAACAAACACACGGCTGCATAAATATAAATAAACACTCAAAATTTAAAAGGCATGATTTAGCTCTAACGGCTAGGAAAGAACTTACTTTTTGTCATTTATTTCAACATATAACAATATTTTTGTTGACAAACTACAACATTAAATAAAATTTAAAAAAATACTCTTAAAATATTTTAAATAAATGTTGAGTATTTTTTAAACTGTTTTTTTTTTTTTTTTTAAATATATTATAAAAAATTGCCTTATGAAATTATTATAACAATGAATATAAACGCATTGCATTCACATTGTAAATTTGTTACCCTAAGAACAAAAAATTAAAATGAAACTATAAAGTTAAGAAAGCCATTCATTCCCATTTATATTTTTGACTATAGCAAGCATTATGTGTATGTTACATGTAAAAAATAATAATTGAGATACTACATAAGTATTACTGTGGAAGCTCAACTCTATGTCAACATTTAAAAATTGCAGATTTATGTTTATTTAAAGCAATAAAAATTCCCATCAGCAATTAAACTCAAAATTATCCGGAATTCGAGAAAACTTTATATTTTTTAATTTTATATATTTGAACTGAAAAAAGAATGTATCGATAAAAAATTTACTTATTAAAAAGATTTTTTTTTTTCTTAAAGTAAAAAACAAACCTGTCTCGTTTTAACATATTGGTTTAAACCAGCCAATCCTGAGAAATATTATTAAAATGTAATCATTTGAACAAATTTACTATGTTTTTTTCCTTTTTTTAGGGTATATAATTAATTATGTTGCTATAAAAATACTTTATATTGAATCTTGTCACAATTTTTTTCAAAAAAGTTTAATAAAGTGCTTTATCAAAAAAGTATGTTCACATTTCTCAAAAAAATGCTGTTGAACTATTTCACATTTCAATGTATTAAAATTTATTTCTAATTTTGATTGAATCAATATTGTGTTTCAAAATATATCTTTTCTACGGACTAACATAGATTGAACCTTACTTACCCAAGAATAACATTGTTGGTGGAAATAAATATGCAAAATAAAAAAGTAAACACCCAGGATAAATTTTGATCTAATAGTCAGATTTTCAAATACTTTGGTTCAATCTTAATAGTTTGAGGGCCTGATCTTTATTAGTGCAGATATATTTTCTCTGAATAAACTTACACATTTTTAAACAGATTTGGATTTCTGCTCCCAGGTTTTCTTGTGTGTGAAAAAAAAAAAATACAGTTCTAATTTGGAAAGGGGCTGTAGACACAGAACTTTTGGAACCTGTTGTATTTCGAAATTATAAGTAGTTGCTGTAATTCTAACTTTTACTAAGGATGATCATATAGTTGATATATTTTTTTTATTATTGATTTGCATCAGTTGGATTAATTTAAGCATTTAGTTATTGTTCTACCCTTATGGTTCCCACCATGTTTTAAATTTTTCATCATTGAAAGATTTATTGTTTACGGGTAGCAATGCTGGCAGCTACTATTCTATGACTAAGTTCGAGCTTGTACTTTAAAGATTTCCAATCTTCAAGAGACACTGAGACTTACTCAAAAATATATCACGTGTAAGAACGCATCTCCACCATACAAAATGCTCGATTGGGTGATAGGGTTGCTATGATAGTGACGAACCATATCGCAAGATCATACCTCAGAGCGGGAAAAATTGAACTTGAAATAGGAAATAAAAGAATTAATAAAAGGGATTCAGGAAAAAACAGAATATTATCAGCTCTAGGTAAAAACGTAATTTTTATCTGCTCCAGGCATTTAAACACCATAAAATAAACAGATTGATTCTTTTTCTTCCAATTAATTATTTTCTTTTAACTTACATTGCATATTCTATGATGTTTGGTTTTTGAATTCTTGCACTGGTCATAACTTTACCCAAGTAATGTGCAACACATGTTGTTTACATACAAAATGTTTTTGTATTATTTAAACTTTAGTGAATATGAGTTTATGTTTATTTAAATTTTTGTCATAACTCATAATTTTAATAAATAATTCGTAAAAATGTGAAAAAGTTTGAAATTAGAAATGTGTAATTTCTAGCTCTAAGTCGCTCAGGTTTTATGATAAATTAAGCACTGGAGAAGTGATGTATAATCTTCCTTTCTATAAAACTGTGTTAATAATTTTTTAATGAATCTAATCAATTGAATTTTTGTTTAAATTCTTTATTTCTTAACCATTTAAACCAGTTTGGGTATAAAAAATTTTTGTAGTTATATTAGATTTAAAAAAAAAAAATATGTTTGCCATCTCTTCCATATGATATTTTTGATCTTTATTACTGTTGTCAGTATCTTTCAGATACTGTTAACTATGATGGAATTAGAAACAAAAGAAAGTGGTGATGAGATGGATGCTGATATTGAATCTGGCGGTGAATCTTTATCTGATGATGAATTGCTGGGCGATGATGATGACAACAATAGAAATGTTTCTGGAAACATGGCTTGGGCAAAGGCAATGCAAAATGTTTTAAGCACAACTCCTAGAACTGAAAACTTTATTCTTAGCAAAGCAAAAAGAGACTCAGATATAAAAAAGAAAAAAGTGAAAGATATTGAATTTGTTGACTCATCTGGCAAAGTGGTTGAACAGGATTCACAAGTTAAACAAGAAAAAAGCTACAAAGAAATGAGAAGGGCTAAATTAGATAATCAGAAAAAGGTGAGTGTTTTTAATTGAGCTTCAATTACCTTTCTAGGGATTGCTAACCTTGTATATATATATATTTCCTTTCGGGATTACGTAATTTGAAAGTGATATTTTCTCTTTTAAGTTTCGGGGTTTATAGCTATTTTAGGTTCTAGTCAATTTTCTTGTTATCTATAATGAGGTGAAAAATTTAAATAACTCCATAAAGTTCGGTTCTTCATTACTGAAAAAGTGAAGCAGAGGAAGGGCCCCAAAGAAGTTTTTGCTCTGGGCCCCAATTAGGCTAAGTCGGGCTTTGGTGACAGTTCAAGTTAAAGGCTGGCAGCTTTTTGTTTAACAGGCTTAGTTTGCACACTACTAAAATTCCTGTTTTCATGTTTCTCGATCACACTAAAATAAGTATTATTCACTGGCCATGTCAGTTCAATACTATCATCTTCATGAGCCTTTGAAGTATCTACCATCTTCTGTATTTTTTGAAAACAGAAACAATTATCGTGAAGAAATCTAATTATGCATGTGATTTTGATTACAAGATGTCTAAGAAGCAATGAAAATAACCTGCCAATCTTTATTGTTGTTGTTAATTTACGTCACACTAGAGCTGCACAATGGGCTATTGGCGACGGTCAATCTTTATAAAATTTTTTTTTAAAAACTTGCAACTATGGGGACTTAAATTATTACAGAGCCATTCACACTGCCTGATGTAAGAGAAACTGCTCGCATATGCACAAATCGTACTTGTCATCCCAGATGGGAATTGCATGCAGTGAGAATTATCTGCAACAAAGGCATTCTCATAGCATACATTGACAGATACACATAAGATTTGCACTGATCAGATAAAAAAAAATAGTAACATTTGAATTTTTTTTTTCTTTCTAAAATTACATTAAAAACAGTTGCTAGGAATCGCAACAACTACTTACTACACTACAAAAACTGCAGTGGTTTCTCTACTTTGTAGTGCTCTACTACATAATTTAAATTATTTCCTATTTCTTTCGTTAAATTGAAGGTATGGTGCAGCAAGAATACGAAAATTATTATTATTCCCAATTCAATCCAATTTTAAAATTTTAACAAACAAAACAAAAGAACAATTATGGAACTTCTGAGTTATAAAATCTTTTTCTTTGTTAATTTCAGATTAATTCATTTAGATACAGTTGCAATAATCTTTTTTTTATCTGAATGTTTTGAAGCTCAATCTTTAAATTTGCAATGTAAAAATGTAATAATAGAGAAAAGAGCCAAATAATCTTCATACGAACTAATGCCTAGTCCTTTTAAACTTAAACTGAAATCAAAGAAGAAAAAACATACTTTTGATTTCAGTATTATATAATTTCAGATTTTTACTGATTTGTTAAATTTTGCTTTTTTTGTTGTTGCATAGTTTAAGTCAAGGAACTTATTTAAAAATGAAATTGAGAGTGGATTGAGATCATTACTTATTTATATTTTTAGAAAATCAAATCGTATACAATGCAGATGAATTGTTTCAAAGCATTTAATTGATTTTTTTTGTTTAGTTTATATGAAATTATTTCTTTCTAATTAACAATTCAATTATCTCAGAAATTTTAAATGGTAATCTGAGTGGTTGTTTACAACTTAATTTTTGTTAAAATCATGTTTAGTTGTTCCGAACTAGTCAGTCATTCAAAAATATTAAGTTCAGATTTTTAAAAAAAAAAAATCATAACTTATGAAGAATTATATCATCATCAGATTTACTTTTACAAAGAATCGATTAAAATTGAAAGTTCAGTAGGTATTGACATTTTAAAATTGGAAAAGTCATAACTTTTGAAATAGCTGAATACACACATTTGAAAAATATATTCTACAAATCATTTGTATTTTAATTTAGTTAATCATGCCTTTTAAAAGCAATTTTTATAGTTTTAATTCTTAGTTAAGATTGTTTAATGTATAATTGAGTCTTCTTTGAGCTTGAATTTAAAAAGAATTGATTAACTAAAATGCTTTAAAAACTTGTCCATCTTTTAAGTTTGAATATTTGAAAATAGAAAAATTATATGAATAGAAGGTTTGTTTAATTATTATGTATTATAGTGGTTATATTTTTATTTTAGAAAGCAGAATGGGAAGCCATGTGTCGAGTAAAACCAGATGTTACAAAGAAAGAAAAGGAAAAGGAATTCATTAAAATAGCAACTAGGTAATATTTTACATTAACTTTTCTTTCTTTGTCACAAAACTTATTATGTGTCTTGTGAAATTTTTATTCTTCAGTGTAATTTTGTGATTTGTTTTGTTTTATGTGATCGTCTAATATATTAAAATTTATATTGTAACTATATACCAAAAAAAAAAAAAAAGATTTTATTAGTAAGCATTATGCAGGACCATTTTTTTTTCAATAAATGATTGTAAACTTCATTTAAAAATCATAATGAGTTTGTTACAGCCTACATTAAAAATAGTTAGTGTTATATTTTCTATGATTGGTGTCCCTCATTCTAAATTCGAAAAAACCCTTTCTGTATTTTTTTTATTTCTATTTTATCATTTACTTTTTAGTTCTTTACTTTGATCATTAATTTTAAAAAATGTAGATTTCTTAACTGCATTTTTTTTTTTCACCAGAGGAGTTGTTCATTTGTTTAATGCAGTTGGAGACCATCAAAAAACGGTGAAAAATAATAAGAAAAGTGCTCGAAAGAATGAAAAGATAAATGTTGTCAAAGGCACTTTTATGGACATTCTGAAGCAACATTCTAAGCAAGACAAAAAAGCAGAGGTATGTCTTTTCTATAAAGCTCATTCTAACAATACATTCTTTTGACCACTCAAGAGTGGTCAAAGGAGGAAAAAAGGGAAGAACTTTCTGTTTTAATTTATTTTGCACTAGTCATTGGTCTCTATGAGATTTTTTATAACTTAAAGCATTCTTTTTTTTGCATATAGAAATAGATTTTGATGCTTTGATATGTTCAGACACTTAAATTTGTTTTGAAAAAATTCACATTTTGTTTTTAAAGCATAATATTAAATGTACAGTAAAATGGTCGTTGATTGGTCTTTCTTAGAGGTTACCTCCATTGACTTTAAAATTGTAATTAATAAAAGGTACATGATTTTTCATGAACCATTTTAATTTTACTCAGTGTCATTTTTTGGTGAGGAAATGTCACGTCTGTTAGAGTTACGAAAGGATGGATCTACGAATAAAATTTAGCTTCTATAAAAATGATACCAGCTAATATAATTGTGTGTAAAAACAAATTTACCAGTTGTGCTTTTTGTTTAAGTTTGCATTTAATTTTATATCATAAAAATGAGTTAGATTTTAAAGATGAGAATAGATTTGTTTGTTTGAGATGCTTGTCTTTTTGCAAAATAAAATTTTTTCTATTTTAACTTTCATTTCTAAAAGCAAATTATCAATAGCATTGTCTTTAGTGCACTCTGAGTGTGTTACATAATATCTGAAAAATATGTTTAAAGTTATATGAATAGATGGCACTGTGCCAATTATTTTCTTTCTCATATTTGTTATATTCATTTCCTTGTCGATAGTAAATAAACGTTTCTCTGGAATCATCTTTATTTTGGGTATCCAAGTTTCTTTAGAGTACAAATTTTACAGATATGAGGTTGCAACATTAGAAAGAACTCTCTAAATAAGAGCCCCCCATAAATATTCTGAATACATTTTGACCTACTTACTTGTTTTGTTGATATTCTTTCGTGTTTCCTTATTTGACCGCATTTGGTGCAGATTTTTACTGGGAGAGGTTTTAATGGTCCCTTCTAAATGTCAACACAAAGTTTATGGAAAAAATTCCTCCCAAAAGTGGTTGTAAATGGAGGTGGTCTTTCCTGGAGGTTTCACTGTATCTCTGTTATTTAAGTATAGGGGTATCTGTTGATATTTTAATGTCCTGCTAAATTGTTACATTCTGTTTAAAATTATAATTCGAGAAGAAAAATGACTGTAAAATGGCTTCAATTTAGTGATTTATTAGACTAATTCAGTCTAAGGGTATAAAATCAAAGACAAGAATGCACTCGACAGATTTATAGGAAATTTTGAAACCTGCAACAACAACAATTTCACCTGATATTTATGTTTGAATTTTGCAACAAAGTCTGACTTTTAAGAATAGTAATTAAAAACATTTCTTCAAAAAAGCTATTTTTACTCTGATAATTAGGTTCCTTCTTTGTTTCCGATTTTATACTCAATATTCTTATTAAACATTTTTAGAGTGAAGTGGAGAAGGCAAAAAAAGAAGAGACTTGGAGTATATTAAAAGATGATTTCATGATGGGTGCTGAAATGAAAGACTGGGATAAAGAGAGTGATGATGAAACTTAAACTGATATGTTTAATGTCTGTGTTATATTTTAATAAAACAAAAAAAAGGTTTTTCATTTCATTGAGTACTCAAAATATTTACCTTCCTTTGCTTTTTATTAATTTAAGTATATATATATGAGGCCCACAAAAATATTTAAAATTACCGGAAGGTATGGAATAGAGAACTTCACAATAGCTTTTGATTTTACAAAAGTAAGATAAATAACGCATTTTATTGAAATAAACTTTTATTTTTCTAATTATTAAAAGAGTATCAAAAATATCCACATTTTTCTTTTTGTTGTTGTTCTTACTAAATAATGTTCATTCTACACTTCGACAAATATTTTTTAATCTTTATAAAATATTTTTAATTTAGAACTTATTTCACATTATAAAATTTTAATTTAAATTAAGCATTTAATACTTTGATTTATTAACTAGTTAAAAATGTTAATGAAGCAATAAAAAATATGAAAGACACTTGCATAATTTGTTGAGAACTGGGGAACAAAATATCAACAATTAAATATTTTCCTGGGTGTTGTCGACTGGTACTGATAAAGTCATATAACAGATTCCTATAGGATATTTTATTCCATTTCAATGCTGCGTGTAAATTACATTAGTAGGATTTAAAATTTCTTCGGTACATAAAGGGTTAACATTATAACCACCAGAACAGTTTTAAATTTGCTAAGTATTAGCTTTGAAAAAAAATCTGTTCTCATTTCAACTGCATAAAAGAAAATTTTCCGAGTAATTTTAATTGATTTTATGAGAAGCTTTATAAAAATAGTTTCCTCAATCGTACTAAATATAGACTTAAGTACAGAGGATCGGTGAGTTTTCATTCTAGTATATCTTTAACAGTCAACCAACAAGAACAATTTAGTAATATTCTTTTGAACTGAATCTGATTGTAATATCTAACTTACAATATTGTTTAAAGTAAGTGATATATAAATTTTGAAATTGAAAATTTGTTATGAATTGCCTTATAATATTATTCATGACAAGTAAGAAACTTAGTCCACACTCTATAATTTGCTATGGTCTTATATGAGTGTCCAGTAACACCATCTGCCCATATTTGTGTCCAGCACGAGGCAAATGCTCACTAACCCAAGGCTTTGGCTGTCTACTGTCTCATGTGCTTATTTCTGTTTCTCTTACCCAACACAAAATCACACATCTGGTAAATTTTGATTAATTCACTATCTTAAGCTTGTTTGAGCTGTTACCAGAGAAGAGAGATAGTAACATTAACATACTTATTGTAATACAGTACAAAACCTGTTATCCGGAAACCAAAAAACCGGAACGAAATTCGGTAAATTTTCCCGCCATTTTTAATAAAAAAAATTTTTTTTCCTCATAAGATTTTAGGATTTTTCGTTCTTTTTTTAAAGATGTTTACTATACCATCATTTCGGAAATAATAATTAGTGTATTACTTCATCGTTTTTTCTTCTTTTTAAGATTATTTCCAATTTCTTTTTTCAGTTGGATTTAACAATAAAAAAAAACGGCTTTTTGTAACGATTCAGAAAACCGGAAAAATCAGTTATCCGGAATAGCGATGGTCCCGATCGTTCCGGATAGTCGGTTCCCTACTGTATTACATTTGTGGTTAATATGAATTTTGTAGTATCATTTGCTGCTATTATACCTTAAAAATGAGTTGTAGTTTTCAAGAATTTGCGGCGAGAGACTTGAATGAAAACTCTGACTTAAGTGCAATACACAAAACACGTCTACTACCGAAGAGCCAGAAATTAATAGTTATTTGTAAAGCAAGGATGGTGTACTTCTGTGGACAAAGAGGATTCTAATTTGAAAATTTTTGATGCCTGAATAAACTATTAATTTTTTTATTTCTTAAAATAAAATTTCAAGTTACTTGTCGTTTGTCCAATTTTTAAATACATGCATTATTATCAAGTCATGGTATTTTTAAACTTAACCATTAGTAAATAAGCAATATACAATGAAAAATAATGTTGGGAGAGGACAAATTGGATCTACAACATATATGTTAATACGCCACAAAAATTCACATTGCACAAAAAAGGATTCAGTCTTCAGCAGTTGCACATACGAAACAATTCAATTTACAGCAGCCAAAGGAATAAAAATGTGTTTAAATTATTAATGCTGCAAATTGAGTGTCCATACATTCATAGCCTTCATCAAACATTTTGATTACTTATCTACTCACTTTTTCTAAACAGGATGAAATGTTCATATTACTGGAATTAAATTGTATTGCCTAAGCTTATTTTCTGATACGAAAATTCGTTTAGAATGAATTATTTTTAATTTTCATAAAATAATTTTTCGCAGTTATTTTTGATTGAAAGGTTATTAAAATCGTACAATGTATACTCTCTCACATTAAAAAAAGTTTTTTTTACAGATATTTTTAATATATTAATTTCAAATCAATATAACAAATAAGATGAGCAAAACTTCTAAATCGTTCAAAAAGTTTATTTTCAATCGAAAATGGCAAACCATAGAGCAGCAGTTTCCAAATGATGTTCTGCGCAAACTCTAAAATTCTGTAGGTGGGTCACAGGGGATCCAAGAGCTTTTTTTTTTTTTTTTTACCATTTATGATTTTTTAAACTAATAATTAACTTTATATCTGATTACTTACCCATTATTTATTTAATATTTTTGTTATTTTTATGAAATTTTGTAAAAATGGCTGTGGAAAAAAAAGTAAAATTTTTAATAATATTTGGAATGAATAATGGAAAGGACACATTTATTAAAAATTGCATCAGTATTTTACGTAGAATAAAATTAAACAAAAGAGAAATATGTCTCAGTAATAACTTAAGTCTTTATTTCAATGAAAGCCAATTTCAGTTTATAGATACACTAAAATTAAAAAAACTATACGCTGCTCTAGACCTGTACATTTAACTATTTGATATTAGAGTATTGATTAAACAATACGATGGAAAAGGCTGGGAGGGTGCTGGACTCACAGTCGTGAGAACAGGAATTTGAATCCAGCCGGCCGAAGACTTCCCTTGTAGTAAATGGTGACTAGTGCACGCTAAATCTGTCGGGTAACAAAGTCCTCTATGTTCCCATGACAAATTATACCTCTGGGGGTACTGAATTGGAAATTGATCGTTCTCTGGTTCAGGATAAAATTACTATCTGTGGATGAATGAATGGTTATTAACGGGTGTGACGTATGTGTGTGGCAGAAGTCGAATTCTTGGCCATAGATGGCGCCACTGGTAAACGGGAACAATCGCAACACTCGCCTTAACCGCTTCCCTGATTATCCAGAGTTAACTCGGGTATGTATATATATTGCAAATATTTATTACCTAGAGTTAACTCGGGCGTAGCAGAATTCTTCAATATGTTTTGTTTTATCTGTGTTTTTATTCCGTTGGAAGCAAAACAATCATCTGCTGTGACTGGAAGTTTGCCAATTCTTGTTTGGGAGTTTTGTTATTTGTGGTGCAGCAGACCTGTTTTGTACAATTGTATATACGATGGTTGATGAATTTACATAGAACAACAAAAAAAAGAATAAAAAAATGGCGTTCACGAGTGAAAGTAATGCAGATACAAAGACTAATATTTAACTTTTTTCATTTGCTCGAGAAAATTTGGGATAGTAAACTGATGGTAAATGAAATATTTATTACACGTAAAAAAATTTTTTTGATCTAGAACTTGTGTATTATGTTTTGTTTTTCTTCTTTTTCTCATTGGCACGACAGCCCAGGATGGTCCTTGGCCTTCTCAACAAGCCTATGCCAAGACATTCTTCCCTTAGCCATGGTTCTCCAGTTAATTATCTTTAAAATTTGTAGGTCCTTTTCAAGGCAGTCTAAAAATCTTAGGTTGGGTCGTCCTCTTTTTCTTGTAGCGGTTGTCCCGCCATCCTCCATTCTTATAATGTGGCCAGCCCATTTAATCCTTTGAATTTTGATAAATTTAATGACATCAGGTTCTTTATATGCTTTGTAAAGTTCCGTGTTTGATCTTCTAAACCAGGTACCGTTTTTACTTATTCCACCAAAAATGCTTCGCGGTATTTTTCTCTCAAAACTAGCTATCATATTTTCATCTCCGCGGGTCATTGTCCATGTCTCACATGCGTATGTAAGCACTGATCGTATAAGACATTTATAGAGTAACACTTTTGTTTTTCTTTTTATTAGGCTTGACTTAAGATATTTTCTTAGGCCATAAAAACACTTATTGGCCATCGTGATTCTGTAGTTTGTTTTGTTTTAGTTCCTTGTATTTATTAATGAAATAAAAAAAAATATGCTGATTTTTTGCATATTTTTTCAAAAAAATGGGTAAGGGATGTGGTTAATGGCCAACGACAACGGAAAAGTTACATTCATTTGTTAAATGTTTTCAAAATAACTAATAAAATGCCGATCATTAAACATATTAATTTATTTATTATCTTAAGGGTTTTTCCAATAGATGGTCTATCATTTAGGGTTCCATAGCTGAAAAAAATTGGGAACTGCTATTTCACACAACCCTACATACTAATTCTTTTATGAGGGATTTATCACCCCTGCTATCGCTCACTAACTGTCAGGTACAGATTTCTCAGTTCTTTTCATAATTCTAATAGTACCATCTTTGAGACTATAAAATAGAATGGTCGATCAGGTCAGTATTTTCTAAAATCCAAACTACACAAATTTGTATTATACATTTTTTTGCTTTTTTTTAAAAAATTTTTTTACATAGATTCTAAACATATACTAAGGCAGTCATTATAGAACATCTTATATACAGGGTGGCCACTCAAATCAGGTTTCAAATTTCCCTGATTTTTATATGTAAAAATCCTAAAATTTCCAGGTGAATGTGCTTTTTTTCCCTCTTAAAGTTTAGGATGGGTACAAGAAAAGTGTCAATATTATAAAGTATTTTATTTAAAATATTATTTCTTTAATGTTATTTTATCATCTTTGACTCACGGTATAGAGTGCTAGCCATGTCACCTTATGGGAATGAGGTGACACGAAAATAATTTTAAATAAGAAAATTATTAATAATTTAAATTAGTAAAATTAAGAAAAATCAAAGAAAATATTCCAGCTTTTCTTTAAAAAGTCCCTGATTTTTCCAGTATAAAAAAATTCCCTGATAATTCCAGGTTTTCAAGGTGGGTGGCCACCCTGTATATAGTTTGCAATAACCTTTAAGAACTCAACTGGGCAGGGCTTTAATTTGCTAGTTATTTTTTTCAAGTAGGTATGTTGAAGAGAAAATTATAATTTTTTATACAAATCAGTCTAAATCTATGGTGAATTAATTATTAAAAGTTTTGACAAGCGTTGGATTTTAAGCTTTGACCCATTTTACACAAAAATAATCATTGGGTTAAATTCAGATGCTATTTTTTGACTGAAACCTGCAGAATGAATAAATATTCATTTTTAATTAACAGGAAGGGAATATATGCTTGAATGTGATTGTACATTTAATTTCATATAGATGACAAAATTCGTGTAATTTTCTCATTAACAGAACATTCTCTTAAACATAGATGAAAGACTTCCATGAAAAAGCCCGCTTTTTTCTTTCAATTATTAAAATTTTCCACCATGTTCCAAAAACATAATTTTTTGGGGGGTCCAATTATTACAGACCCCCGAGTCGACCGAACGATAGCCGTACTCGGAAAGAATTTTTTCTCTGCAGTAGTCTTCTGAAAGAGAATGATTGCGAGGAAAAAAATGGGTGGAGCAGGCGCGTCGTTACCTTGACTTCCGTTGTAGAGCGGAAAGGATGAGGTTGTTGATTGTGAAGCCGTTTCGTTTCGGGCGCCAATATTTGATCCCGAGTTTTCCTCATTGGAGTGGCGCGTATTGAATTTGCGCATCCTTACATTACAGTTCTCTAGACTCCGATAGCTCTTATTTTTGGCCGTTCCTGCCTTTATCCGACCACATATTTGTTCTTCGTTTCCTTTTCACTTGGTGCATCGTTAGGCGAATTTATTTAACGATGGAAATAAATTTGATGGACGAACATAAAATGTGTACAATTGCTGCTGCTGCTGAATAAAATAAATTCAAATTTGATAGGTTCAGGGATGAGATTAGCCAAAAGGCAAAAAAGCTGAATTTCCACGATTGTAAATTTTACGCAAGCGCAGCCCTTTAATAATAAATTCCAGACAGTTTAAGGTAATAAATAATGTGTTGACATACAATTGTGTACTAATCTATTATTATAAAAACGACTACATTGATACTTAACATTTAGTGAAAATAAAAATTACCAATTGAAAAAATAAAGCTGGAAATTATATTTTTCCTCAGTTCACATACGAGACAATTATTACTTGAAAAACTACCTGGTTTAGCAAATTAAAACTACTGAGAATATACATTAATNGAAAGAATGTTTGTACTTTGTGCACTGCAAATATTTATTATAACATATTATGAGATAATTTATGTAACCACACAGCGTAGATGCCATAAGGAAGTGCTGACAGACACAGGTCTGCCAGTAGAAAAGACGTGCCATTTCTATTATGAATATATTATTACAGTTTGATTTAGACTATTAAAGTGACAATATGAATTAAATATTATGAATAATATTTATGAATTAACATTTATTATATTACACTGGCACTAATTTAAAATATATTTTCCAGAAATCAATTAGAATAAAAAAAAATTATCCAGCAATTTTTTGTTTTGCGGACCATTTGGCGCCCCTTTGTGAGTAGCGCCCGGGGCATGATGCCCCCCTTGCCCACCCCTCGCTACGCCACTGCTTACATATACTAATAATCGTCGTTAGAAAAACAGTCACCTTTATAGTAACTAATTAAAAAAAAAATTTACTTCTTACTAGAATCGCGATAGTTGATTTTAAAATTGCGTGAATATGGATAACAATTATGGATTTTGAAATCACATGAATATGAAACTAGATATACGATTTTGAAAATGAGGAAATACAAACTGGGATATAGAATTTTTAAAATGCGTACATACAAATCATGATTCATAATTTTTAGATCGCATAAATACGAATCATGATGCGCAATTTTTAGATTGCATAAATAAGAATTATGATGCATAATTTTTAGAATTCGTAAATGCGAATCCCAATGCCTTATTTTAAAATCACGTATAAATACGAAAATCAATGTTTGATATTATAAGCCGCATGAGCAAATCTAGACATTAATCTTAAACTTGCGTGAATACGAATCGCTATATAGGTTTTTAAAAAGGCGTAAATACGAATCTAATCACAATATCTGATTTTTAAATCTCGTAAATAAGAATTGCAACGAACAATATTCAAATCGCGTGAATAAGAATTGCAACACGCAAATATGAAAAGCTATGTTTGATATTAAAATCGTGTGAATAAGAATCGAGATATTAGTAGATTCCAGGCTTGGGACCTCTAAAAGGCTTGTCAGAAGCAGTGTCGTTTGAACTACAAAAATCGGATCTTGGAGGGCGGGTAAAAAATTCGGAAAATCTTATCTGCTGCGAGTAAAAGGGGAGAAAATAGCTATAATAAGTAAAAATGAGAAAGGATTGCTAGCTATGTAGTTTGAATTTTCTGTTTCGCTTTGAAAATCAGTAAATTTTCTGAAAAAGCGGAATGCTTATAAAAAAAAGTGAAATTTTTAGAAAAATCTGAATTTTTGATAAAAAAAAAACTGAAATTCAAGAGATAAAAGTGAAAAAAGCGGAAATCTGCTAAAAAGCGGAAAAAATCTCATCCCTGTAGGTTAAAAAGCAATCGAAGTGACTGAAAATGTTGGTAAAAATCTATCAGAAGATTTTGAGGTGAAAGTTAGCGACTGTTTTAATTTAAAATGATTGACTGGAGATGATCTACATTGCTCAATTTTTTTTAAATATAGTAGTGGTCAAAGATGTTTAAAATTATATTCAAGAAAAATGTAAATTTCACTGTCTAAATGCTTCTGCCACTTATAATATATCTTATTGATATCACAATATAACATAGAACACTCCCTCCCAGTGTAAAAGTTCATTTTTTTTTCATTTTTGTCCACATTCATGCCTGCTTAAAGCAATTTTAGATCTAAGGCTTTGTCCTTACTCTTAAGGAATATTATTCTGATGACTAAAATTTATTGATTATTTTATTTTTTCTGTAACATATTTTTTAATATGGAAAAAATAGATAAATAAAAAAAATTATATGAACTAATTGCTTTATGTAAATCATCAGAAGAAATTAATGGCTCTGCTCGCTTTGAAGAGTTTTTGCAGTTCCTTTTGGATCGCTTTGCAAATCAAACTTGCTTTCATTTAGTCTGAAACTATAAATAAATAATTAAAATTTAGCACACTATACTGCAGTGCAATTACCATATAAAGATGCCAAATATATAAAACCCTCAATTTTGAATTTTTTGTAGCTTACCTGATGTTTCAATTGCACAGCAGCATACTATTAAACTGTTATTATGTTTTCACAAATTGTAATAACTTTAATTACACTGTTTTTATTTCTTGTCAATATTTTAAAAGCTTTTAAATTCAATAACAAATTCTATTGCGTCTGATTTTTGTTCTTCACTGAACAATTTTTGTGATGTCAATGTTAAAGTAAATTATTATTAACAATTAAATTTAAAATGGTAAGTACTATCTTTATTCATTAAAATATTATTAAAAGTGTTCATTAATCAACTATATTTTGTAATAATAATCAATGGAAAATTTTTTGTTTACATGCCTTTGTTAGATTACATGCACATTTTAATAACATAAAAGACATATATTAAATCAAAAAAGAAAATCTTCAACTAATTTTTAAAGCATTTAATCAAAAATAAAACAGTTTTATTAGGGAAGGATTCATCTGTTAAAATACTGCTAACAATTTCATGCCAATAAAGAGAGCAAAAAACAGGAATAATTCATTTTGAACAAGAATAATATCCTAATAACAAATTGTGTTTGCATAAAACAAAACATCAGTAGAAATCTAACCATTTTCTTTAATTATTTTCTTCCTAATAAAATACAAAATTGAAACTGTACAGAACACATTTTAAATTCAATCTAACTTTTTTTTTTCACAAAAATATTTGAAGTAATATAATTTTCTTTGACACTCTATACGTATTTCATTCTGCACATTCTCAGTCAAGCAGGTTAGATTATTATACATATTTGTTTTTTCTTAAAAAATAATCTCTACTACTTTAGGAATTTCTTTATAAAAATGTTTTTGATTCAGTAAACATTGTTGGCATTTTGCACCACTTTTTTTTGTATATCACGAACACAGTTACAGTTTATGCATGTATAGCTGCAATACATCATCACACTGTATCATCTCTCATCAACTTTTTTTAGTCACAGACAACACTATATTTTGGTTTTACATTTATTGGAGTAAATATGGCATACTTCAAACAAATGCTTTCAAAATTCTTTCTTCAATTTTGAACAAAAAAAAAAAAGGCTTCCATTATTTTTGAAAAAGATTGCTTCCATCATTTTTGAAAGAAGGCTTTTATCATTTTTAAAATAATGCTTCTTTCAGTTTTAAAAGATTGCTTCCTTCAATATTGCTTCTTTCATTATTGGAAAAAAAAAAGGCTTTCGTCATTTTTGAAAGATTTCTACCATTATTTTTTTAAAGAATGCGCTTCTATCAGTTTTGAGTAAAAGCTATTTTCTGAAAAAATGTTTTTCTTCTTTTTTTCATTGTTTTTCTGTCTTAAATGCAAGGAAACAAACTGTCGTTTTAAAAATAGAGTGAAGCAAAGTGGGTGAATGTTAGAGCACCGAATCAAAGTGTAAAGAAATTCTTACTAATGTCATTTTATATATTGCCAGTAAAGAGGGGGGGGGGCTACTGGTCGATACCCTTTCCGAGAGTTCCCGTGCTTCCGTGGAAAGAGAATTGCTGGAAATATGGCTGTTCCATTTCTTCAGAAATGGAATTCAGAGGACCTTGATCAGGAGGTGTCAATTCAACTGATTCACCAGTGAATTCTTGATCAAAGTACCGAGTATCTGTATCAGAGGTCACTTGTGGTTTAAAAGGAGGCGTCACCTAAAAAAAAAAAATTTTTTTTTTTTTCAGATTAAAAAAACATTTTTTTTTTTGTGTTTAGCATCAACTTTTTTTAAATTCAGGGTTAGCAACTGTAATTTTCTGAAAATAATAAAAATAATAGGGGGATTTAACTCAATAAAATAACAATGTCAGAAAAAAAAACATTTTAATCAAGAAATTTAACCGATATCATGATTTTTAAATAATAATTTACAAAAAACTCCTTTGGAAAGTAAAAAAACAAAACAATTAATGACATTGGAAAACGACCTAACCAAACTGATATACATGGTTTATGATTGATAATTTATGAACACACACTTTATAGAATATTGCAAGCCTTTGGACTATTATATTGTTTTACTAAAAAAATATTTGAGGATTCCAGGAACTAGTTTTCATTAGGATTCAAGAATTTTAAGCCCTTGTTATGCATTGGTAAGTTTTTCTCTAAGTTCTTTCTATTTTTTGTGCCTGCTTTAATTATCCTTGATGCAATTTTCATATTATTGAAGTCCTTGCCACTATAAATTTTTTTCTTCCATTTAGCCTCACATTTTCTTGTTTTAAGTCTGACAAAAATAGAGTTTTTTCCATTTTTTTTAAAAAAATAATAAAATAAATAAAATTACTCTTTAATAGTACACTTAAAAAACATAGTTTCAAATTTATATCTTAGTTTTCTGTTTTTTAAGTTTTGTTAGGTTTAGACGGAAAGTAGTCCAAATTTTTATTTGTGTTTATAAGAGATCACTCATCAGATTCAGAGCTCAGTTTAGATGATTGGAAAGTGGTCAGAACTTTGATTAAAGATAAATAATATTTAAGGACTTATAATGGCAAAGAAATGATTGAAATTATCATTTGAATTATCATCTATGCCATCCAACATAAGCTCCAATTCAAATTTGAGTGTTCTAGTTATCCAGAATTGTTTTAAAATTTTGATTGATGATGGCATTAATATCTCCATAAATTCTGCTTGTAGTAGTCAAGAAACATATTTTCTTCTGCACTGAGCTTCTAATAAAATTTGAGTGCTCCCTCTATTTGGAAAGTAATCAAAATTCAGAATGAAGATAAATTTTTGATGTAAATTCTCACAGACACAAAAACAAGTTAATAAAATCATAGTAAAAAATAAGATCTAATTTGGGAACTAAATATTGCGTATAAATAGAAAATTTGGGGACTTGTTTCTGATTTCAAAAAGAAGGAAAGAAATGAAAAACTTTCCGAACAGATACTAAAATGAATCAAATATTAAATAGACACAGATCTGTTTGAAACAGATATTAAATAGTACTTAATAGCAAATATAAACAGAGTGTGTTGAATTTAAAAGCTCAAAACATCAGTATGAAGAAAAAAAATCTGTGTAAAAGCGAAGTAAGATAATTTCTCTTTATAAATCAGAAGCTTCACAAAAATTGGATTTAGCTGCAGATAAAGATTTCTTTCATGTTTGATAGTATTAAAAATTACTAATCTTACAGAAAAAACATAAACAATGCTTCTTTTTTTGTGGAAATTACAAGAAACTCAAACTTTTTTCCAGATAGTGAAATTTATTTATAAAAAAAATGAATAATAATAAACAGAAAAAACACATTCGTTTGGATAGAAACGAATGATATTCTTTGATTGTATTGTTTAACTCACATGACTTAATCTTTCTGCTTTATTTATTTTTAACGAAGAGCGATAGAGTCAGTGTAACACACCTTTTTTATTATTATTACAGTGAATTTTAATAGTTTTTACTTTTATTTGTGTTAAGAACCAAATTAAGAAGAAAAAACTTCAGTTTCTGCGTTTTAATTTTTGCGAATAAAAGTGTGTTTGTATATGAAATAAAGTAATTATACCATTACTAAGTCGTAATTCGCAAGAATTAACTTTTGCCACTTTACGTGCAGCATTTGAAACTTTGTCTTTGTTTTCCTGGCTCTTAAGTAAACTGAAGTAAATAGAATATGAAAAAAAAAAAAAAAAAATAAGGGAGGGGGAAAGAAGGAGTATCGAAATAACAGAATAAATAGGTGGCCTGCAGTTCTAGTAAAAATTTTATTGTGGCTGCTTTCCTGAAAAACAGATCAGTTTTTCTTCTTGCTACTCAAAAGAAAAAGTAAAACTTGCTCTATGATTAAACCCTTCAAATATTGATCAGTGACTTGAAGTGTGTAAAATATTTTTAATGATTTAAATACTTCAATAAAAAGAATAAAAGAGTACACTCCAATATAGATTTCAACTTATTTTAAAACTGGTTATTTAAATAACTTATTTTAAAACCTTAATTTCAATTATATAACACAAAATTGAATAACATATAATGAGTTATTTTTTCATAGCATTCAGATTAAATGGTCAAATGGCAAATTTGTTCTTCAACTGTAATAATTTTGAATACAACATTAAATTTGATAATCTTTTATACTCAATTTTTAAAAAAAAAAAATAGTATTTTTACCATAAAAAATGATAAAAATTTAACGGCAAATATATATACAAAATGTGAGAAAAAGAATGCAATATTATAAATCAATCAATACAAAACAAAAATTGTTATAACTCATAAGCAGTAAACAACAACCAACATTTTGAGGAAGTCTAGGTTTAGTTATAGCAAGGTGGTGAAGAGCAAAGGTTGTAGATGGACCGTACGCTACGAACCGGAGCATTCGGTTACGGAGTGCTGAGCAAGACCAAGCTTTAATGTTCACTAAATTGTAGATTTTCTTCTTTTTAAAAATATTGTTTGTTTGAAAAATACATGCATAAGTTTCTATTTTTTAATTATCTATTCTTAGATTAACTTTCTTTAGAGTTAAAAGTTTTCTATGAAAAAGTTTTATTTAAGCTTCAAGCGAATAATCACAAAAAGTTAATGCAAGACAAAAACAGATGGACGACTGACTCTAGAAAATAACCATATGGACTTTGGTCTCTTTTCATTTAGTTCTAGATAAATTCTTTTCAGTTTAGAGAATAATGTCATGTTAATTTTATGATAATAGCCAGGATTTTTTTCTTTAATGAAACATCACTTTGGAATTTACGTAAGCAATTAGAAAATATTTTTTGTCTTGCTTTAACTTACTTTTTAATAAAGGATAAAAAGTCAAGTGCAAATATATATATTTTTTTTACATAAAATTATCTTTAAATTAACAAACCTTATAACTGTGTGAAAATACAGAAAAAGTAAAATAAAAGGTCATTTCGAGTCTGACTAAACAATTAGAACAATATTTTTGAGATTGCCCCTATATTTTGGAGGCCAGGAGTCGTAATCATCATAATTCATTGAAAAAAGATTTATGTTTATTCAGGGACAGTTGGTTTTGTGTCTAATCTTGTAACTTAAACCAATTAATAACTAATTAACTAATAAACCTATTAACATATTTGAGATCACCCTCCTTAGATATTAAGAATTAGTCCAAGTACGTTAAAAACTGATAATTAAATCAAATCAAAAGCAATTCAAAATGTTTTTTTTTGCATTGCACACGTGAACCTGTGTGTTAAATACTCTCTTAATATAATGTGAAAGTTTATATAAATTTTAATGTAGAATTAAATACTCATTTTTGGTCTTAAAATGTAATTTTAATCTAAGTTTTCATACAAATTTCAGTAGATTTTTTGAGGGTAGTATTTAGAAATAAGACAGAAAGGTTAATTTTCAAAATAATTAGTAAAAATTAGACAATAACCAAAATTTTATGTTAATAACGAGTAACATTAATTCATTTTTAAAATATTTATATATATTTGATTACATGTTATTTGATATTTATTGAAATCAGTTACATCAATATTTTCTGCAAAGCTAAAGTAAGACTTCTTTGTCTCTACAAATATTTGCCAAAAGTGGAATTGACAACTTTCCAATTCCTCTGATTTATCTAAACGTTTATTATTGCTGCAATTTACGTTGTATGTAGGTTTTCATATGTTTATTTTTATCAATAGTTTAAACAGGGTGCGTAGCCAACTCTCAACAAAAAAAGCACCTTTTAAGCACTCAAAAAATATGTTTAAGCACTATATACTTTAACAAAATGCAAAATAATTTTCAAAGACTTTACATGATCATGATAAAATAACTAGTTTCTGACAAATAACTCTTTTCTTGATTATTTTAGCCACCATAAAAAGATCGAGAGATTTTGGTTCAGAGGGTGGAGAATGAAGCCTGAATATCTTGAAAAATGCAGCACATGAGATTGCAAAAATCTCACCGAATCCAGCTCAGTTGACGCACATATCAACTCCCAAGTATTTAATCAAATATGTAACATGATTGGCGCTACCATATGTTACGGACTGACGGTGGATTGCGATGGAATGAATTGTGAAAACGATGAATAGAACAATGAGAAAACCACGCTTTTGCATAATACGCAGCNAGAATGAAGCCTGAAATTGAGAATATCTTGAAAAATGCAGCACTGAGTTGCACATGAGATTGCAAAAATCTCTTCGAATCCAGCTCAGTTGACGCACATATTAACTCCCAAGTATTTAATCAAATATGTAACATGATTGGCGCTACCATATGTTACGGACTGACGGTGGATTGCGATGGAATGAATTGTGAAAACGATGAATAGAACAATGAGAAAACCACGCTTTTGCATAATACGCAGCGAAAAGCGACATGGTAAAGAAAAAATTTTCATTTTTGAAAGGGAAAATTAAGCAATTTTTAAAACAACCCATTAAAAAAGCACTTTTAAGGGCTTTTAAAAAACGAAAATTGAAAAGAATCACCATTAAGCATTTTTTAAAAACGCTATGCACCATGTTTTAGCATTAATAGAGAACTGCTTATCGACAATCTGAGACATTTTAACATTCCTGAAAAACTTGTGAAACTAATATCCCCTACATTAAATGACACCAAATTGAGAGTCAAAATACAGGGAAACTTATCTGAACCTGTTGAAATAAAAAATGGCATAAGACAGGGCGATGCATTAGCATGCCTTCTTTTCAATCTTGTTCTTGAGAAAGTAGTAAGAGACTCAGGAATTAACACTAGAGGAACTATTTTCTCAAAATCTGTTCAAATTATGGCCTATGCTGATGATATTGATATCATAGCAAGAACGCCTAAAGACCTAAAGCAGGCATTCCTGGACCTGGAAAGAGAGGCCAAAAAAATGCACCTCTCAATTAATCAGAGTAAGACAAAGTATATGTAATGTATCAACTATACCGATACATCCACGCACATCGAGATTGGAGAGTATAAGTTTGAAAAGGTGAGCTCTTTTACCTACCTTGGCTCTGAAATCAACTCCGAAAACTCAATTTCCACAGAAGTAAGGAAGAGAGTAACTGCAGCCAACAAGTGCTTTTATGGCATAAGAAAATTCCTTAAATCTGACATCATTAAAAGAGACACCAAGTTGCTAATATACAAAAGCCTAATAAGATCAGTTCTCACTTACGCATCTGAAACCTGGACCTTGTCCCAAGCTGATGAGAGGACCATTGCTGCTTTCGAGAGGAGGATACTCCGGTCCGTTTTTGGTGGTGTGTGTGACAAGGGAGTGTGGAGAAGGAGAACTAACTCTGAACTCTACAGGATATTCAGAGAACCGGACATTCTGAAGTACCATAAGATTCAGCGCATGAAATGGGCCGGACACATTGTAAGAATGAATGATGACAGAACAACTAAAAGAATCTTTTTGGCAAGGCCAACTGGAGCTAGAAAGAGAGGCAGACCCCGACTGAGATGGGCAGATTGCCTCCAAAGAGACTTTACCACAATCAAGGTCAGAGACTGGAAAGCCGTGGCATGCAGAAGAAAGGACTGGTGCAGTCTTCTTGAGAAAGCCAGGGTCCACCGAGGACTGTCGAGCTACTGATGATGATGCACCATGTTTAATAACCTCTATTAGTTTGTGTAGAGAATATCTAATCTTCCCCAAAAATTACTTGATGACAATAATTTAATTAATATTTTTCAATTACTAAGAAGACTATCTATTCTTTTGTAATTGTATCTAATAAAAGGTCATTTTTATTTTATTTTAAATTGTTAATTTAAAGATAGTACATATTTCATTAACATTTAATAATGGTATTAGTGAAAGGTGTATTAACAATGAGTCAGCAATAAATAGCAGTGAATTTGGTTATTGACAAGTAATTTTAGTGAATTGCTGAATCAGAGAATGAATGCATAAAAAATTCATGAACCTATAAATTGTGTTACGGCAATCAAGGACAACAGTTTTGCCTTTTTTAAAAATAATTTTAAACAAATTGTTATATATTGAATGGAAAAAACTTTTTAACTATTATTTAAATCTGTAGAATTATAAAAAATAAATAATAAGACCCAATTGATACATTAATGTTCATTAATAAGAACAACTTAAAAGATATTTTATCAAAATTGTGGATATAAGCTTAAAAATTTTGCTAATAATCCCACTATATTTGCAGTAGATGGTGAATGTTTTTTTAGCAAATAAAAATTTATAAAACCTATACGAGGTTCACAATGATACAAGAGAGACTAAATTATGCGGCAATAATTTCAATCAAAATTTCGGGAAAAACAATTGATTTTGAAAAGTATGAAACTGTTAGCATCTGTCTTAAGCACAATTTTTTTTTTTAAAATTTTGTGCTTGCATCAGGGAAATCATAAAAGATTCTGTTCATTAAAAATATTACTTACACTAGATATTTATTCTAGATTACTTGAGGTGATATGGTCACTACTTAATGTCTTTTTTAACCTTTAAATCGTTGATTGTTCATATATTTCTCAAATCAACATTTAGAGATGATATAGATTTTATAATTTTCTGAAAGAAATATTATAATTTTAAACATAAAAAGCAATTTTATATAGCAATATGACTACACCAGCAAGACAATTCAAGGGGGGGGGGAAATAAATTCTTTTTTTTAAAATTCAGATTCTTTTTACAAAATAGAGTAAAGGGCACCTTTCTCAATATCCGCCGATCAGAATGTTTCTTCTTCCACCTTCACTGTATTAGTGTAAGACAATCTGAAAGGTTTGCACTATGATTTCAGATTAAATTATTTGATCCTTCCTCATGTTCCAGTTTACAGTGTAGGATGCAGCCCTTTGCTGTTTACATTACCATGTTGTTATATAAACCTCAGCATTTCTTTAAAAAGATAAGTGATGTTGGCTACTGATGAGTGGCAAAATTTTTAATTTTATTTTATTTATAATTCATTCTTTTTCTCATATTTTATGTTATATGTGCTCTGATTTTTGCAGGCTGTTTTCTATTTACATTACATTTTGAAATTATTAATTTCTAAATTATAATTTATATATACATAGCATAATAAATAAATACAAAAAGAAAAAAAAACATGAAAATTAAGAAAAACAATAAGTTTTATTTACTGTGCATAAGCTGCAAGTAATTAGAACTAAAAAAATAAGTTCAAAATGTAGAGAAAACATGGATAAAATTACAGAACAATTAAAACCTTTTTTCATTGTTCTGTAATTTTTTCCATGTTTTCTCTACATTTTAAACTTATATAGTTAATAATATAGAATGTAACTTGACCTTTTTTTCTAAAAGATCTTGCCATGGCATAGAACGAAAAAAAGGATCTAGCATAACTTCTTTTGCATCATCTGGACCACCTCCAAGCCTTTAATATAAATATAAAAAATACATATAACTTTTCAATTAACTATAAAACCTTTTTAACTTAATGCTTAAAGAACAGACTTATTAGATTATTTCAATGATTAGATTAGATTGTGATTTTAAGTGTTAAAAAATTAAAATAAGCTGTGGTAAAAAAAGATTTCATTCTTAAAAAATACACAGTAGGGAACCGATTATCCGGAACAGTCGAGTACATCGCTATTCCGGATAACTGATTTTTCCGTTTTTCTGAATCGCTACAAAAAGCCGTTCTTTTATTGTTAAATCCAATTAAAAAATAAATATTTGGAAATAATCTTAAAAATAAGAAAAAACGATGAAGTAATACACTAATGATTATTTCTAAAATGATGGTAAGGTAAACATCTTTAAAAAAAGAAAGAAAAATCGTAAAATATTATGAGGAAATTTTTTATTATTTTTTTTAAATGGCAAGAAAATTTATCGAATTTCGTTCCGGATTTTTGGTTTTCCGATTTCCGGATAACGGGTTCTGTACTGTATTACGATTATTTGCATGCACAGTGCGAAAAATTAAAAACGGACCACCCTAAATAACTTTTGATCTTAATAATCAGATCTTCCCTTTTTTAATCTTAATGGCTCAAGGGGGTGACCTCAAATGTGCTAATTAATTGGAGCAGATGATATTTAAAGTTACGAAATCAGATACAAAGCTGGTGTAATTGTACATATGTATATAAAAATGTAATTCTTATAATTTATGTAGATGACATAATTATTTTTGCTAAAACTAAAGATGAAGTAGACAGTGTTATTAAACTTCTAAGTGATAATTTTGATTAAAAAACTCTAAGTTGTTAGGTGTTGAATTTGTCCAAAATGATGGTGAGATGTTAATACGTCAAAAGAGTTACATCCAAAAAGTTTGTAAAATGTTTTCTAGCTTTAAATTTCCTATTTCATCGTTGCCAATTACTAAGGGTAACTTATTATCAAAAGCCGATTGTCCATCTTCTAAAAGTGAAGTGGATGAAATGGCAAAATTGCCCAGGGTTCATACAGAGATCAGAAGAAGAAATCCAAGGAATCCAAAATTTAAAAACTTTGCATAAAAGACAACCAGATAGTTTTTTTTTTTTAAATCAAAAAGCAGTTACTATAAAGAACTTGCAAAAATGTATATTTTGCATAAGATATTTTTTTCTAGCCTTTTTGAAATAAATTTCGACTTTGTCAAACTTCATCAAGAAAAATAAATAAAGCTATCACTTTCACACATAAATACATTTTTCAGCTTCAAATATTTCAATAAATCTTGTTAAAGCACATAGTACAGATGTTAAAGATTAACATAAAAACCTACCAATCTTATATTTTAAAATTTGAATACATAAAATCTAAGGCATTTATACAAAGAAAAAAAAACAGTAAATCATTAATTAAGTTTGCTTGTAACATAGAAAAAAAAAATAACAGCAAATAATTTTACAACTCTTCCAATTCAATTTTTTTTTCTTTTTAAGTTTTCCTTAAACTATTAGATTTTCACAACTAAGTCATCATTTCATTCCCCTGCTTGGACAACAAATTAATCAGCGTACTTAGTAAGTTCATCTATGCAACACAATAATCTAAGGAGTTTCTAAGGACTAATTTGTAAATCTAAGTAGTTCCTAGTACTCCTAGGAGACCTTTTTATTTCTGAGGAGTATAAGGAGTCTGTACGAACTCTGCGTTTTGGAACGTTTTGGGTTGTTTGGCTTATATTGCTAATCGCATAAGACCGGATATTTCCTATGCGGTAAATATATTATCACATTTTCAAGAAAACCAAGGTTTAAAACACTGGAATACTTTATTAAGATTATTAGGTTATGTTTAAAACACTCAAGATCATTTCTTAAAATTGTCAAATATTGAAGAATTAAATGTAAATTGTTACTATGACTCAGATTTTGCTGCTAACAGGGATGACAGAATATCAGTAGGTGGTATAATATTGTTTTTAGATAAAACTGTGATATTCTGGAAAACTTTCAAACAAAAAAGTTTGAGTCTATCTACAATGGAATCAGAGTATGTGACTTTAACTGACGCTGCCAAAGAGGCAATGTGGATTAATCGTATAATAGATGAGTGGGGAGAATTAAATTTAAAAGACTTACATTTAAGTGAATGTATTATACTTAGTGACAATCAATCTGCTATTGATTTTTTGCATTCACCTATTGAAAATAGTTGAATGAAACACATCGACGTAAGGTATCATTTTTTAAGAAATTTAATTTATGATAAATTTTTCACTGTTAAATATGTTAGGAGTAAGTTTAACTTAGCGGACATTTTTACAAAACCTTTAACTAAGTTAGAAGTTGAAAAGTTTTGTTCAAAAGTATTTGTGAAGGTTTAATCTTTTAGATGGTTTCAGGAACGAAACTACTTAAGTATTAGTTTAAAGAAATTAAAAAAAAAATTTTAATATTATTTTAGTTCATTGAAGATTTTGATAAACTGTGTGTGTGTGTATTTTTTTTTGTAAAAGTTGAAAGCATGAGATGGGGCCGCATGTTAGACAAATAAAGGTATAAGGTTCGATTTTTGTTAGTCGTCGAAGATCTCATGCATTCAACTTGCGTTGGTGACGTCATGGTCTACGGGGATCGACCAGTTTATTTTCATTTGATGTTGTTCGTTCTTGCGTGGATCATGTCATCCGTTATCTGTATTTAAGCTTCTGTTGAAGCAGTTTATTTTGTATTCTTTCTTTTCCGTTTTGCCACTCTGTTTGTGACTGTTTGCTTACTAATGTTTTTAAATAAACTTATTTCTTCAGAAACTTCGTTTTTCTTTTTACTTTGTTTTATTGACAAACAGATATGATATTCTGCAACAATCCCGGATGTCAAAATCGACCTACCATGGCTGGAATTCGACCCCTGAGCCACCGTATCTCTTTTCAGGGTAGTTGCACTGAATGCAAAATGGTTTTCACAGCAGTGAATTCACACTTTTTTCCATGTAATATGTAAACTAAACTCAATGCTGTGGCAGCTTACAGACAGTCAAGGCATATTGTTCCCATTTGTGCCTCTGGGAAGCAGGACCAGTTTCTGCGGCCGAACGTGGACCCCCCCCCCCACTGTTTAGCCCCAAATCATAAGTGTAATATCTACAAATAGAAACTAAAGCGCACCTCTTTTTTGGATCCTTGACAAGCAATCCACTTAACAAAGATTTAGCTTCAGGTGATAGTGACTTAGGAAATTTAACTTCTTCTATCAGTATCAATTCAAAGAGAATGTCATGGTCTCTGTTATAAAATGGCAACCGTCCACACATCATTTCGTACATGACTACACCCAGACCCCACCAGTCAACAGCACGGCCATAATGCGTATCCTCAAGAACCTGTAAGTAAATGGCATGAAAACGAAAAGTGATAGATTAACAGAAATTCAACAATGAAAAGGTACACAAAAATTAGGTAAGTATCAAAATAATTCCTTAATTATATTGTTTCATAGTATATTTGATTGAAACAATCACACCTAATGCGTTGTTTTAAACTGATTGATTTAAACATCATTGAACGTTATGGATACATTTTTTCTCATATGCAATTGGACAATCAAATCATATTAGTTATTACATGATAAAAGGCTTGTCTTAAGAGGATCTTTTAAGAGAAGCCTTAAAATTAGGAAAGCAGAATTTAACAAGATTACATTTAAGCTTTATTGTTTTTCCTTTTAAAAAAATTGAACCAATTTAAATGAATTTTATTCAAAATCTCAAAAAATATTAATGGAAGAATAAAAAAAAAACAAATACAGATTTATGTAAAAAAAATATTTAAGTTAAATTTTCTTATATTTTTTAGTAAAAAGTGCAATGACCTCTGGTGCCAAATACTCTGGAGTCCCACAAAATGTCTTGGTTGTTGCTCCATAACTAATATCCTCCTTGCAGAGTCCAAAATCAGCTATTTTTATGTGACCATCCTTATCAAGAAGTAAGTTTTCAAGCTAAAATAAAAAATCATTATTTCATCAAAATATTTTCCTAAAATATTAGCTTTATTTTTGCTAACTGATTAAAGAATGAATTTGAAAAATGCAAATGTCTTCTTTTGTTTTAGACTTAAAAATTCTGGTCACTCAGCTATCAGAAGAAAAAAATTATTTCTAGACTAGACCAATTTTTTAGACTAGCTATCAGTAACTAGAAGTACAACAACACAGAAATATATATAGTTAGCGCTCACAAATTTCAAAATAGTGCTATTTTAGGGGTTTTCTACTGCATTCTGTATAGGTATATAATATTAACAGGGGTTTGTCTGTTTTTTTTTTAGAGGTACCTATTTTGTGAAAATTTAGACATAATTTGTGAAATTTAAAAATTATATTAAAAACTCAACACAAAAATATTGTTAAGCACGAAAATATTTTCAAAAATTGTCACTTGCAATAAAAATCATTTATGACAGGTGAATTTCTGTATATTTTTCTCCATATAATTTTGCAATTTTGCTATTGTAAAATTGTGGGCTTAAAATTGCATCCAATTTTAAAATTCCATAAAAGTCATTGTCCATAGTTGAATTTCAACTTGAATTTAATAAAAACATGCATTTAACAGTACTAGCACTAAAACTCATTTTCATTATGAGAACATTTTCAACAGGTCATACAGAAAAAAGCTTCACAGAGAAGAAAAAAAAGTTTCATAAAGAAATAAAGGTCTATTAGAATAAATTTACAATAGCGTTTAAAATAATGTTCAAATGTTTATAATAATGTTCGAATTTTGACTTTCTGTAAAGTTTACAAATGGAGACCTTCGTTGTTTCATTTAAAAAAACTCAGCTAAAACAAAAAGTTCACTTTGATATGGTGTGAGCGACCGGTTAAGTTTACCATATTGCAGTATCTGACCAGACAAGTGCTACTTTTTCGTAAAAGACATCTAGCAAAAAAGCTCCTCTTTTCCCTAGATTGCAACGAGAATGGAGTTTGCCAGGAAACTTGCTTTATTAAAAGTTTTCTTGCGAAATTTCCTAATGTTGAATTTGTGAAGGTACCGCTATATGGTAGTAAATATACACTGGACAGACCCCTGATTAATAAAATTATGTATGAATTACTATTAAATGAAAAAAAAATTAACACTTAAGGACGAAATTAAAAATTATGCAATACTGAAATTTTATACTTCATTGCAAAATGATTGAATTGATAACTTGGAATCAATATTCTAGTTTTGGCATGAATTTGAAACTGCCCTTACAGGGCTCCTAATAAATTTTAGCCAAAGAAAAAGGGAAAAAAGGACTTAGAAGGACAATTTAGATCTTCAAAAAAATCTAAATTGTCCTCCTAAGTTTACATACATATATATATAT